TGCTGCAGCAAGGTACACACACACACACACACACACACACACACACACACACACACCGTCTGCAACAAGCAGATTGTTGGTTAGTTTGCTGATTGTGCAAAGAGTATTGATTACCCAGCCGGTTCTCCTCAGTCTGGCCTGCTGACTCTGACTGCTTTTTCTATGAAAAAATATCAGTATGTGCATACGCTCTGTCAGCTGGTTTTAATATTTAGTGGTTCTATTTGCACCTGGTAATAAAATACGTCCTCAGCATCAGGGAGTTTGTGCTCCAAATATGAATGTAAACCTTTTTTACCCCGAGAAAACGAGTTCGCCTTTAAACTGTTTAACATCTTCACCAGGAGCTAGCGGAGTATGATACAAATATATTTGATTTTTTTCTTTTGTGGAGTAGAAATGGGCTGTTTGATTGAACTTCTGTGTGTGTTTTACAGGTGGAGTGTGGCAGCTTTGGCCTCCTGATCCTCACCTTTTTCCTGAGTTTTGTGTTCCTCTATTTCTGGAGTGAAGCCCAGAACGACTACAATGACTTTGACTGGTTCGTACTGAGCACACTGACAAACACTGACAAGTGCTCACACATTAATGTTTTGCCTCAGGCACATATGTCTGGAGAGGAAACCTTTACTCTCTATTTTCCAACTGATTGGCAAAAGGTTGCTGGCTGTTGCTGGGTGAAATCAGTCCCAAACAAGGTTCTGGACCAAAAACCTTTGCAATGTCTTTGGTCGCTAGAAGATTGTCACTTTTGCCCATAGTTTGCATTAAAAACACAGATGACATGTCTGCAAACACTCAAGCAGTAGAGAAAATGCAAACTAGTAACTGAGAATGTTTGCCTTCAAAGTAAAAGTTGTCCCTTATTGCTGAAAGAAAAATGTCACAAAAGATGCAACTTTTACTTTGAAGACGTCTCCATTTCTGGGTTGCATTGTACGCTTCAGTTTCACAACCGCTCATTAAGTGTTTGTTGTAATTTTTAGTGCATCCATTGTTTTATGTGATGGAGTTGGGATGTAGCCATAAGAGTAGAGCTGTTTGGAGGAAATAAAGTTGAAAATCAATCGTCAGTGAAACGTTTTTCAGAGTCAGAAAAAGACAACTTGAGCAGCTGTGACTGTCATAAAGCATTTGAATCTCCCACAACATTTGTTCATAAGTCTAAGTACACTCATATGCACTGATTCATGAGCAAGACACACATCTTGGGAGTTCATTCAATCGTCACTGATTTTCACACTTTGAACTTGTATTGAAAAATGCAACACAATACTACATTAACTGGTTATTTTTTTTGTAACAAAACCTAGCTGGTTAGGAATCAAAGAAAACATTGTTTAAGTAAAAAATACAACTGTTGCTGCTTTTAAAGAGCTTTTCTGTTCCAGCTTTATCTGGTTAAACATGTGCTCCACACACAAAATATGCATAAAACACATCACTTACAGATTCATGACAACTGTCTCCAGGAAATGTTGCAGTTTTTGTCCACAGGTATAAATGTCCACAGTTGATGACTGTTTGATGTTTTGTTCAGAGTTGGTGTGGATTAAACTGACCAAACACACCATGAAGCACACTTTAAACAGACATGAAGCTGCTGCTACAGTTTTGTTTCTGTCCTTTTGTATCTTCAGGTTTAACTTTGGGAATCTTGGGTTCTGGTTCCCCTGGTCTCTGGTCCTGCTGATTGTTGCTGCGGCTCTCTTCACATACATCGCTCTGCTATTGGTATGAACACCGATTTCAGATTTTCAACCCGTTGGAACCTGGAAATGTAATAGAAAACAATTAAAAAAGAAAGAAAGAAAATAGTGGTTGCACTTTAATTCCCTGGAGCTGCCAAGAAAGCCTTTGTATTACAGCTACAACAATGTTCTTATTAAAGTTCAGCAAGTTTTCAGCAACACCTTATTGGGACCTACTTGACTGTTTGTTTTGCTCTCCTGTTACCAACCTGTGCCCTCCTGCAGTTATGCAATAACAGCAAAGCATTGAAACATCACAGATTACTTGTTTTGTTTTTTTTCACTTTAACTGGAGTTCTTCAAAGCGTTTTATTAGACACAAGTGTGCACTGTGCTCGGGCTCCATCAGCAGGTCGTTTGACATTTAGGAGCTTGTCTTCTTCTCTAGAGTGACAAACTTATGTAAGACTTTTATATAAAACATGTGAAAGAAAAATCTGTATTAACAGTTGACTTTCTGCTTTGAAGATTGCTTGATCAAATCCGTAGAGATTTGACTGTTTTTTATTGGACACATGAAAGAAATTTAATAATAAGAAAAAATCAGGACAAAATAAATTTTTATTTTTATTTTTTTTTAAAGTTCTTGAAGTTAAAGGTTTAACAGATGGTTGCTTTAATCAGCTTTATAAAACGCTAATATTAAATAGATATTGGATATTAAGAATATTAATGTCTGACACTCTAAGCCTGTTCTGCACCTGTTGTTTAGGTGCTGGCGGTGTGTTTGCTTTCTGAGGGCCAGAGGTTGTACCTTCACTGGAGCCACAAGGTATAAATACAGAAATGTAAAGAGCATGAAGTGTTGGTTTTTCAGGTCTCCGTTGGTGTGCACTCACATACGTTGTATTTTTCCGTCTTCCTCTCTTTGTCAGTCTGGTATTGTGGTGACGCTGGGTTCTCCGTCACAGCCACCGCCATCCTCTCTGACCTCTGGAGCAAAGAATGGAAGACTCTCCTCCTCTCTCTGCAGGTGAGCCACACCAGCCAATCACAGCAAGGAGTGATTCGTTGTTTGGTTTTGTTTTTTCAAATAATTAACCACAGTTTATTAAACATTGTACAGTTATTATTGTAGTCATAAATATAGCAGAGAGATTTGTACAGTTATGTTTATTAGTGCTGTCGCTTTCTTTTTATATTTAGGTCACAGCACTTACCTACATGTGGCTGCAGTGTCATTGATGGCGATTCTTTCCTGGCAATAGCATTACATTTCTTTCGCATGAACAAGAAAGGTAAGGGATGTTTTGCACTTTAAAAATAACACTGAAAGTTGGGTGGGGCATAGACGGTGTAAAACATGGGTTCAACCGTCTTAGGGTGAAGACAAATGGAAATGTCTCAAATCTGCCATCTTTTAATGGCCAGCAGGGGGCGACTCCTCTGGTTGTGAAAAGACTTCGGGTGTTCGTTACTTTACAAAGTTTCAGGTCAAACTGAATAAAGCATGAAGTTAATTTAGTAATTTATTCATTCATCACTTGAGTTACTGACTAATGACTCATTCTGGAGCTTGCAGTGTCTTCAGTTTCTCAGTCTGATCTGCTGAAGTTTATCATATTTGATTTTTTTTTTTTGTTATTATTTTATTTCACATTTTCAAAATATAAACCAACACAAATCCCAAAACAAACAAAAACAGACCGTCTCAGATGTGTTCCAGAAAAAACAATTAATTCAAGCAAACATGCACTTCACAGAACACCACAGGATAGAGCACCAAAAGCTGGAGTTGATGAGAGTTTACAAATCTGGGTCCAGTTAGTCCAATCTGGCCCTCGCAAAGTGTTCCAAGAAGGGTTTCCAGACACTCAGAAGAGAATCTTTTGAGTCTTTGCTGAACTTTTCTATTTGTATTATGGACAGCATGTCTGTTTACCCACAACTGAAAGACACAACATTCCCTCGTCATATCTGATTTTTAAACACCAACATGAGGACAGTGCAAACACTCAGGTCGATGCTTTAAAACAGAACCTGGGTGATGTCTTTGTCCAGTCTTTCATACTGTGGGTGATTGTGCATTTGCAACACTGAACCTTTCTTAAGCATCTGATTCAGCTTTTATATGCTTGATTTTATAGGTTTTTAATCATATCTTGTATGTAGATCTACATGGAAGAACTCGTGAATGAAAATCACATGAAAAGTAGTTAAATATTTGATAATGCTACACCAGAACTACACCCTTTAAAAAAAACTATGTTTTTATGTTTTATTATAATAAAGGGAACAAAAAGCACGTTTTTGTCTCAGTTTAGAACCTGTTCTCTTTTAAAAGCCAGAGTATCAGATAGTTGGGAAAGAGAGAAGAATAGAAATAGGTATATGCAGCCTATCAGTACAGTAACTGAAAGAGAAAATAGGCTGAAGGATCTTAGGGAATTTCTTTATTGGCTTTTTGGCTGCAAAAGTTGTACTCCTGAGCAAATCCTTCCTTTTCTGTCAAAGCTTATCAACCTGTAGATCTCCCTCCAGCCACCGTTAGGCACAAAAGGGTTTTTATTTGAGTAATTTTCCTACAAACTGAGTCTGTTTTTATTGGTCTCGAGGTCATTCTGATCTCGTGCCCTGCCAGCTCTGCCCCTTTAGCTGCCATCTGTTTCGTTTAACCTGTCTTCAGGTTGCTTTCTGTCTTGTGTCATGTCATTTCCTCTCTGCTGAATGGCTTTGACCTCCATGTCTCTTCTCTCTCTCTTCTCTCTGTTGGTACTTTCTCTTGTTGCTATGGTGATTTAGCGGGCAGAAGGATGCAGACTCGTGTCAGGGGTCTGTGCTAGCAGAAGCAGATTGTGTAATATGGCTTAGTCCTCTTTAATGTTTTGAGATAAACATCTGGACAAAGTTAAACTGGATACTGGGAGAACTATTAAAGCTATTAAAACCTGTAAAATGAGCCATGTGCCATACGTAATAATTTCCAACTAGCGATTAAGCCCAACAACTTATCAGGAAACTGGATGTCCCATAGTCATTGCCTCCTGTTGGTCATTAGAAAATAATCCAGACTTTGAAGCTATGTGCGTTTATTATACTCGATTAAATCTATGACTTTATTTAATTTAGGATTGGTTTAAACATTGGTAAGGATTCCTGTGAAAGAAAAGCAAAATGTCTGTCCTCTATTTTGATGATGTTTGTAACAGTAGCTGATGGTTTCTGATGGTTTTGGGCAGGTTGTTCAAAGAGGAGACAGACGGGGCAGCAGTAGGAGTGTCTGTGCTTAGTCATGCTGAGACTCTTTAGTGGGACGCTGACAAAGGAGCACCTGTTGACATTTCCCAAAAGGGCAGAATTTCTCTCTCTATTAATGCCACAATGACCACAAAAAGTCCCACTTAAATCTGGCTTTTATCTGTAGCAGGGAAGTGTAAAATTGGTGCACTGCACTGGTGTGAGGATTTTGTGCAACATTTTAATTATATATTTTACTAATTTGATGCAATACTTACACTGTGACCCAGTGTGGTATCAACACATAACTGACAACTTAGAAAGATCACATTTTAAATTGAATTTTTAGGCACTTTCTTATTAGCGGTGGGTCACAAAAAACACAACATGTTCCCTTTTTTTTAGTTTAATGTACAAAAAACATGCACACGGCAACACGGTGTGGCAAAGAGGCATTAGCTGAAAATGCAGCATAGCTCGGTATGGTTGAGGACACTTGACAAATGGAGGGCAAAAGAGGTGGTAGGTCTTTAAAGCTTAAAAACTATCAACAGCAGATGAAGAAATGGGGAAAAAAACCCATCAGAGACTTGACACAGAGAGATGCATTTGTTCTTCAGTTGAGCCAAGTCTCCTGAAGTCTCTGAAAACTACTTAAACAAACTAGAAGAAAGCTACCAGAGTGGGCTCGGGCTTTATAAAGGCAGCCATACCAAATATTGAAGCTTCTTAGAATCGTGCAAACTCTGCTGTGTACATGTATGGCTGCACTCATTTCCATCTTCCTAGCAAATTATAAAGAAATGTGGGGTCACTCAAGATTTGTGCACAGTAATGTATAACCAAAGATTTTTTTAAAATATTTTCTTTCCCTTGTTAACCTGACTCAATAATAAGTGATATTCTTGATACTAATAAATTGATATATTAAATACAGGCAGTCCTCACACAGTTACAGATTTATTGTTTTTGCTGCAACCGTCTAAATAGTCCTTATTCTGGTCTCACCTTTTAATTGACCTGCACAGAATAAACCGGTGCTGCCTGCAGAGTTTCTCTAAATGAAACAAACTCAGAGCCTCGTTTATTAGTGAAGACGTGATTTGTTTCAGCCTAGTTGGAGGCAACTTACCCCTCATTAAAATCTTAGTCCTGCTGACCTCTGGTGCTTTATTTGTCAGCTTTCTGTGTCGAACAGACGAATTCTGGGGTAACATGGTGTTCGGGGTGGATTCAGAGGGTGGGGTGATGAGTGGGGTAAGATATCTTTTATTCATCAGGGAAGACAATTAAAAAAGGCTATTCTGCCTGTTGTAAAGTTTAAACTATACACAGTCTTGCATGAAGTTACTATAAAAACTCATAGAATAGTCTTATTATTATTATCTGTATTTAAGAGGCTACAATTCAGGTCTTTGTATTTGCTCTCTGTCCAGACTTCCCTGTGTTGCCCATATGGCTGCTGTTGTTAAGCACTATGTTGATCCTATCAAGAAAGATTTACTCCATATTATCCTGATTAAGTTCCAGTTTCTACTGCATAGCACTCCTGTAACTGTGAAGTTTTATGCTTGTTAGTATTAGGATTTGTTTACATGTGAATTGCACAAATTACAGCAGAATGCGTGTATTTTATGTGCAGAATATTTGGACAGTAGTATGCAGTAGTACGCTCCTGTTTCATGACCGTTTATTTATTTTTGTGGCATTTAGTCCGTCAGGTGGCCGTCCTGGGACTCTTTCTGTCCGTGCTGTTCTCGCTCTACTTGGTTCCTCTGGGAATGTACTCGCCCTGCATCAAAGAGGCGGGAACTCTGGGACCTGCCCCTACTCTCATTGGGCACAGAGGAGCTCCAATGGTGAGGCTGAATTAAACCATTATCATCTGATCTGATTTTGTTTATTCCTAAAGTAAGTTTGCAAAATATTTTAACTTGTGTGATTGTGGATTAGCCTCCCTTTGGGTAATGTACGCATCATAACGCTGACATCATCACATCAAGAATCGCAGTGCAGTTATGTAAAATAGAAAACAATGATCCACGCTGCAGTTTCACACCTTGCATTTCCATCCACTGGGACAAATTGGACCCTTTGCCATCCTACTTATGGGGCATTTAAAAAATAAACTGCCAAACAGTTTTTTGACTTTGCCCTAAAATAAAGTCATTAAAAAAATTTCCACTTGGAGTTAAAGTGGACATTAAACACCACGTGTACAAAGATTAATTTGCACCATGAAGCCCTGCTCTCACAAACTTGCATAGATGTAACATAGCGGCTCATAGACTTACATTATATTAGAAAACCAGTGAACCTCAGTGGAAAACAAGATTAAAACTAACAAGTCTAAGAGGGTCACTTGGTACTCCCCCTGGCTACAGCAAAGAGTTTCATGTTAAGAAAACAAAGATGTACTGTCCACTTTCACTCTGTGTCTCCTAAACAGTCAGTGTTTCCTCGTTGTTTGGCTAGCTGTGAAACGGGAAAATCCACCTGTTGGCTGTAATGTTCATGCAGGTGGCAGCAGGGAAAGTGGATATTTGTTATTCAACATGCGTCTGAGCTTATATTGACATCATAGGAGGTAAACTCTGTCGTGGAAGTAGGTTTCCATCTAAGTTAATGTCAGCTGTGACAGTTCTAACAGTTGTGCTGCTTGTTGTAGATCAGAAATAAATATAAACAGCTTATATTAAGTTGTGCCCAGTAGCTCAGCAGATACTCTAAAGCTCACGATGTAATGAGGAAAAGAAAACAGGCTGATATCCAGATTGACGTTTTGGAAACTGATTTTGCTTCTGCAGCATCCTGTGTGCAATCTTGTTAGAATATGTCTGATCAGGGCGATGGTTGGATCCTGTTAAATACCCCAATTCTTTGATCTTTGGGCTGAAAGAAGAACAACACTTGGTGTTTAATGCTCAATCAACAATCTCTTTATACCATACAACCCTTTAGGCATAAACGTCCGGATGGGAGATTTGCACAGGAGGGTGTCCGGCAAAATCTCGAAGTGTCTGACTGTTTCTCACATTCTTATAGCTTCGGCCCCCTTCCAGACTAAGCCTAAGTTATGACCTTGGCTTCCTGTGCAGTATGTTTTGTTCTTTCTAATCAGACAAATAAGGCCATGATTCTCTGCAAACAGTATTTCTTATAAATCAGTAGTATCATGCATCATAAAACAGTGCAATATCCCCTTTGAGTTTTTCATCTCGGAATAAACAATCAGTTACAATCAAACAATCAATCTGCTGGTCCCTCTCTAGTCTAAACAAGTGTTTCAGTAACTTTCCACTAGAAGATGGTCCCCTCTTATCTACTTTCTCCCAGGCAAGCGTGAGCAAGAGTCTACAGCTTTCTACCCCCAAGGACACGTAGTCTAATGCCTTTATTTTCAGGGCCGTGTCGACTTAATACGGCACTTTATGGTTATATGGCATTTTAGTTAATATAAAGCATAGCATGGAATTCCATTCCAACAATCCCTTCTGAAATTGTTGCTTGTTTTTCTGTAGCTCGCTCCGGAGAACACTGTGATGTCTTTTGAGAAGGCAGTGGAAGCTGGAGGAGAAGGACTGGAGACTGATGTCACCATCAGGTGTGTCATCCTGCTGATTTTTTTTATCTCACTCTTTTATTTATGGAGCATGTGAATTGCACACAGTAATGTCACTGCTGTAAAAACAGATAGATCTTGAATTTAATCTACAAAATTCATTATAAACTTGACTTCCTGGTTACAAGGACCAGTCTCAGTGTTACAGAGTTACTTAAAGTAAAATGTCCTTTCTGTAATGATGCAGATGACATGTGACATCTCTTCTGTTCTGGGTCAATCTGACCCGCAACATAACAGGAGGGTTAAGCTGAAAATTTCCCATCTTTCACTCTAATATGTCAGTACTACTGCTACCTCAGCATCCACCTATAACCTCTGACAGGATGTGTTCTCACCAGTCATATATGCTGGCATATGCTTTATTTATCTCAGAGGCTTATTTGGTGGGTTATTTGTTTGCTGACAATAGGAAGAATCAGTGAATAAGTGTGTCTCACACCAAAAGTGTGAAAGTTTGGAACCTGGCATGTAACTTAAAATCCAGACTGCAGATGGCACGAAAAGATTGCTCATCTAAAGCCAGCCTCACATTACAGGATTACAAAAACTCATGACTGCAATCGGTGCATCCTTTGACACTGACTGTTACCTCTGGGCGTTTCTTTAATGGTAAAATGATCAGATCAATCAGATCAGGTGATCAGTGAACTACAGCCGAGTCTCTTGAATTACACAGATCAGATGCTAGCACGCTTCTCTCATTGCTGAGGTGATTACTGCCATTCTAATCCAATTAGCGGTGAGCACTCCCGTGAGCCTACAACCAAACGTTTAGCGCCATTTACAACCTGAAAACAGGAGGATCAGCTGCATGGCTCAACATCAGCGGGTTAGCTTAATCCAGTGCTGTTGAGTCTGGTGGTGCTTTCATAAGAATGAGTTGTATTTCTGTGTTGTGCATGATACTGGGCTCCTGTTGTGTAACTACACTATATAATGTCTTTCATAAGGTGAGCTTCCTGGTAGGAGTGCAGCGATTTCTTTTTTTTTTTTTTTTTTTTTTTTTTATTCCTTCAGCCACATCAACAGATTTGTGAAAGAGGATTGAAGCTCAATAAGTGCAACTTACTGAGAGTCTGCAGGGCAGATTCTGGGGTTCAGTTTGTATCATAAATCTACATATTGTTGTTATGAAGTCATATTATCAGTGCTGACCAGTGAATCTGGTCATCCTTACTGCCTCTTCACTTCCTCTTCCCTTGTATCACTTACCCTTCATCTTGGAGTCCTACTTTTCCTTCTTGAATCCTCGTGTTGTGACTCACTGAATATTTCTTTCTGTCTGTAGTTTTGATGGTGTTCCCTTCCTGATGCACGACTCCACCCTGAAGAGGACCACTAACATCGCGGAGGTTTTCCCAAACAGGACACACCTCGACGCCTCCATGTTCACTTGGACCGAGCTGCAGCAGTTGAACGCTGGTGATTGGTTCTTATCGGTATGACCAGCACGGACGCAGCTCAACACAGAGCAACAGCAGCATGTTGTTGGCTTAGAAATGCATCATCTGTACAGAAACTACTGAAGAAACACATTCCTACAGATATTTAGAATTCACAAATGTTGTTTGAGTTCCTGCTGGCAGTGACCGACAGATAAACAACTAAGCCAAAGAAAAAGACAGAAAATGTCCCTCTAAGTTAAGAGCAGGTGAAATTCAACCTGATTTTTTTCCTCTCACCATCACTCTGCTTCTCACTTGCAGAGGGATCCGTTTGGCACCGTGTCATCCCTCTCTGCGGCAGACCGCTCCCAGGCCCAGAACCAGTCTATTCCCTCACTGGTCCAGTTCCTGGAGGTAGCAGCCCGAAGTGGTAGACTCGTACTGTTCGACCTGCGCAGGCCACCGCTTGGACACCCATACAGTCTGTCATACATCAACACCACTCTACAGGTGGTACAGGCCCACATCAACTCCTCGCAGGTAACTGATCAGGATTAATGTATCTGCACTTTGATTTAAAGATAACGTTAAATTGGTTTAATGGGGATATTTTTGGTTTCAGTCTAGTGCCGTTCTGCAAACACAATCAGTGCATTTATTTTTCCTATTGTTAATTTTTCCTGGTGTTGTTTGCTCACTGTGTTATGTGTGGCTGTAGGTCCTGTGGCTGCCATCTGAAGACAGGGACCAGGTCCAGGCTGTGGACCCACACCTGCAGCAGACCTCTGGAGAAAAGGCTTCTATCCAGGAGTTGACAGACGGACACATCACCAGACTGAACCTGCACTACAGCACCATGTCTCAGCAACAGATCCGGTACAGAGCTGATAAACGGCATACATTAAACGTCTGTCTTAGGCAGTTTTAATTAAAGATTGTTAATCACTGCAGCGGTAATTATTTCAGAGTTTCTTCAGATTTAGGTTGTATTCGTGTCAGGAGAGGCCACATGCTCACACTCATGAATTATTAACCAATACCAGGGCTGTTAATGATTTGAATTGTCATTTTAACTTGCATAAATTACTCAAACAACACATTAAAGATAAAACAAATATTAACCAACACAATTTTAATTGTGAGTTTAATTATAATCAAGCAGATATAAATAATAGCATTCATTTGAATGTATTGGCTGTCATCTTTGTGACAAACAAACAGCAACACAATCAGCTGCTTCTTCAGGTTTTGCCTGACCCGATGTCCTGGTGATGGAAGTTCTGCTCTGTGTTTCTTCTTTTTATGCACTGCAGAAAAACTATTCATGCAAAATCGGATTTCTAAAATACAAATTAAACATAGTTATTTGTACAAGTCTGTAAGTTCAGACTAGAAAAACAACAACAGATATAATGGCCTGCACATAGTTCAAACATTCAATTATGCAATCACATCCATCTAGTGGCAAAACAACCCTATTTATACCAACTGAGAGAAACTTGACATTTTGAATTGGTCTCTTGTGTTTGTGCATGTGTGCAGTTATGTAACCCAGATACAGATGGACGCAGCTTCCTCAGTGACTCCATCTCGGTGCTTGTAGAACAACCTCAGGGAAGTGAGAGGGAGATAAAGGGCAGGTGTGAGAGATGCTCATCGCCGAAGTGAGGAGAGGAAAGTGTGGATAAAGAGGAATTTGTTCAGTAGAGGCGTGAAGGAAGCAGTGGAGGAGGTACAGACGGGTCCAGCTGAGAGGAGAATAAGAGAGGGAGGTAGTTGTACATTAACAGTAGCTGTGGGAGAACAATCTGGAAAGAAAGATGGTGGAGTGACTCACATACAGACAGTTTTCAACACAACTTACACAGGCGACTGAAATAATCTTCCACTGTTACAACTGATTCATCTTCATGAAAACGTTTCAACTGTTAATTTGTCACCAACGGTGACGGGTGGAATGAGTCATACTGTTATTGCCTGATAGGTTTTAATCAGAGCATAAAGCATGCGGTCAAACTTTTACAAGTCTTTTACAGGCCACTGACTCACTGGAAAAACTGCAGTAGAATGTATGAATACCAGAGTTAAACTTAACAGCTTTCTTTTCATCAGTAACAGTCTTTCATTAAATTTAAGGCTGCAAATGTGTGGAAAAGTTAATCCCTCAGAAGCCCACGTCTTTGTTGGTATGAGCGTGCATTAGTGCAGATGGAATTGGCAGCTTGCACATTGGAAAAGCCAGATCAATGCTAACAGGTTTCAGAGCAGCATGCGCTCCCATCCAGGCGATGTCTCTTTGTCAGAGAAGGCTTGGCATGCTAAACTGCATCTCTCTCTCTCTCTCTCTCTCTCTCTCTCTCTCTCTCTCTCTCTCTCTCTCTCTCTCTCTCTCTCTCTCTCTCTCCCCCCCCCCCAGAAAGTACCAGTCAGTGAACATCAGCACTAACCTGTATGTGATCAGCCAGCCTTGGCTCTACACACTGGCCTGGTGTGCTGGAGCGCAGTCCGTGACCACCAACTCCATCCACATCCTGTCCAACATCAACAAGCCGCTGTTCCTGATGGTGAGCAGATTCAAACCTCCAATTCTTTTATGAGACAGTCATATTAGACTTTATTAACCTCCTAGGACCTGGCGTCCACATATGTGGACATCAAATGTTGGTTGTCTAGGCCAAAATACTACATTTTGCTCTACAAGGGCCTGATATCTAGGGATGGGTATCGTTTAGGTTTTATCTGATACCGGTGCCAAACCGGTAGTTTTGAAACGGTGCCGGTGCTTAAAGAATGGAGAACACAAACTTTGTCCAAAAACCTCTCATGTTCAGCTGTTTGTTTGTTTTTTGTTTGTTTTTTTGTAAAAAGATAGCAATGTTAGCCTTTTCTGCAGCTATAGGGCATATATGGTATCACTCTTGGCTGGAAGCAGTGCTTAAACAATGGAAAAAACACAAAACTTGTCCTAAACCTCTCATGTTCAGCTGTTTTCCACTTTTTCTTTGGTCATTTTAGTCTTTTTGGCCAGGGTGAAGGGAGCATCTGCCATCAAACAAGAAGACGGCCGCATGTAACTACGACGGTGTTTGCTAGTTCACCTTACATGCATTAATTTAATAAATAAAATAAATTACACACGAACAACATTAAGCTACTCACCCAGAGAAGAACGGCTGCTGCTGCATCATCATCCGTCATCATTTCTGCTACACTGGCAGGGCTAGGGGCCAGGACTCTCCTCTTCAGGTTCTTGGGGATGTTGCTAACTCTGGGTCCGATAACAGGCAACCCACCCGCAGTAGATGTGCTCGCTGTGAGGTCTGGCAGCAAGCTATCAAATACAGGTGCATTTCTCGGCTTTTAAAAAAACGCTATGCGTCGCCAGGTATTTCATCGGATTTGAGGTGTTGCCTCCTTTGACAGTATCACAGTATCAGCTTAAAGCACTTGTTGCAGGCAGCTGAGTTTGCATCTTTTGCTGTGAAGTACAGCCAGACTTTGACCGCTTGGCCTTGGGCATTTTTAATCTGTAGCTCTGCCCTAAAAGAACGTATGTACCTAGGCCCGCCTACTATCCTTGGAAAGGTAAAATGATTGGCTAGAATCCAAAGTGTATGACATCTCAAGAAAAAAAGCACCGAAATGTGCGCTGCTTTTTGGTCTGGTTACTACCGTTTATGTCAGAACCAGTGCCATCATGGCACCGGATACGGTACCCATCCCTACTGATATCCACTTACGAGGACATTATACTACCACTGTTCTATCGAAATTTAAAATGAATGTACTCATATGTGGATGTCAGACCCTTGTAGAGCAAAATAAGGTAAAAAGATAATTCTTTGTTTTTCCATTCATCGGGTCCAATCAGCCCAAATAGAAAAGATAAATTAAAAATGCATGCCGTGAAAGAGTTCGGGTCTTAGGAGGTTAAAGAAACCAGAAGGCTCTTAGAACTTAGAAACTGTTAAAAGTAATAGGATTGGTTACAAGCATTTACATATAATATATTTCATGCTTCATTAAAGAGTTATTCACAAGCTGGCACCACATACTCTGTTAGATATGAAAGCATTTGTAGAAGATAATGGCAGATTGTGTAAGGATGAACTGAGGCTGCGGTTTGGTGAAGGCCTGTGAGGGGACTGGCAGCAGCTCCCGAGGAGACAGATCCCCATGTGCTAATGACAGAGAAGCAGAAGGGAAGTGTCTGAGCTGTGGTCCCTCTCCTTAGTTTCAGATAATTACCTCCCATTATGCCTGATGAAAACAGTTTTTAGGCTTGTGTCAGCAAGCTTCAGGTAGGGCTCTGAGTAATTCACTAAAAACGTCTAAAATTTGTTGTTATCCACTGAAGCTTGTGCAGCAGGTGTCGTGTGTGTTTGGAGATTGTACCTGTGAGCATTTGATTACATAAACCTTCTCTCCTGCTCCAGCTCCAGTGTAATTATTATTTTAATAAGAGTGTTCAGTCCGTTTACCATCACTGTGTTGAATAATCGTATTAATGCTCAGTCTCCTCCATCTGTGACCCAACAAATCTCAGAACTCTTTGTTTAATAAATGTAATAAATCCTTTTATTGTGTCTCTCTAGACCCCAGAGGAATATAGTCTGATGTGGATTCTTACTGATGTGGTGTCAGCCTTCCTCATCACTGCAATTTTCATATTCCACTGGTAGGAACACACACACACACACACACACACACACACACTCACACACACACACACACACACACACACACACACACACACACACACACACACACACACACACACACTATCTTAGTGAGGACCTTCATTGACATATTAATGGTTTCCCTAACCCTAACCATTAAAAATGAATGCCTAACCCTAACCCTAACCATAACCTGTGCATAAGCTGTGCTGGGCTGAGTCGGTGTGGCTCACTTTTGTGGAAGCAAACATTTTGTTTCTTCACACAAAAATAATATCGGAATATTTTTTCGTTCAGCTTCAAGAGATCCTAAAATTATGTTTTAATATTCTGCGTCTAATTATTTACTTTAATCTCTTCTTCAAATAATAATTATCTTCAAGTATAATATTTTTAAAATATTATAAAAATGACAATAAAGCCACATTGATTATATTTATTGATATTTGCAAACATTTCACAGTATGTGACGCTCGGCGGGTTTTCTCTTGATGTAAGATGTCAGTTTCATTTAAAGATTTATTAACTTTGATTATCTGTCTAGTCATACATTACGAAGTAATGAGCTACTAAGAACAGCATTAATAATGATAAATGCTCCTTTTTATCTAAAGAAGCTGCCTTTTTTGTACTTTCAAATATTCAGCCACGATTTGTTTTATCAACTCAAACTGAATTTGTCATGAGATTGTGTTCACACCGAAATCACGAGGGGTTAATTTAGATCTGAACTCAAGCACAGCTTTTTCAGGTTAGCTATTTGTGACTATAACTAGCAGCCCTTAGACTGAGGATATGAAGAGAGTTGGAGTCTTTCCTGTCACACAGACGATGCTCTTCACCACAAAGAAAATCCTCTGTGGTTTTATTTGTACTTTTTTTCTGCGTTGCCCCTTTCATCATCTGCTCCTTCCTTCACTCTTTGTATAGGCGGGCTTCAGTTGAGGCTCGCCCAGACCTCCTCTCACATGTGTACACATCAAAGCTGCTACATGCAGCAGCCTCAAAGCACAGTGGTAAACACAGCAGCACACCAGGTTACGCTCTGCTGCTCTGATCTCTGTTTGCGGTGTGTGTGTGTGACAGGTGGAGAGAGCGAGGCCTGCCCTTCTGGTCCGGCAGCCGGCAGACTCACGAGAATGGACCATACAGCAAGTTCAGGACAGGTATAACAACGTTTTTCTTGTACACAGTGCTGGATAAATGTGAAACATCAACTTTCAGCAGATTACACACGTGTTCCAGTAACTTTGTCATGCTTTGTCCCCGTCATGGCTGATATTACCTGTTTTCTGTGATACGTTGAAGTGTCCTTGGGCAAATACTGAACGCTTTATTTCCCCTGATGCTTCCATTATTGTGTGACTCTGTGAGTGAACGTTAAGGTTCAAAGGTCAAAGTTCTGCATGATTGGTGAATCTGCAACTAGACAAGACAAACTGATGAAAACAGATGTAAACATCTGTGTCACTTTCATCCCGGCTGAGGTTTAGCTTAGACTTTAAAGGTGCTGCTAGTCTGCATTCATTGAAGACTGTGTTACATATTCAGGGGTTTTTACTACATGGAAATTAAATGTTTGGTGATGTTGTCATAAAATTAGGTTGTCCTTTTTAAAAAAAATTAAATTTGGTATTTCATTGATTTACACGTCATACTCATATTTGGTTGGTGAACGGTCAGAAATGTGAGGAAAACACTCAGATTTCTGCCAGTAGTGATAGTCTCACAGCCTTCACTTTGTTCAGTGATCGTGCTAAACGGCTGAAATAGTCACCCACACAGTGCTGTTGTAGCTTCTTATGTAGCAGGCTAGCCACCAAGACTGTAGCTATTTCATGAAAACATCTGTGCATGCAGTGATCTCCTGCTGTGTGTCGTATGTGTCATGTGTGTCAGACTCCGCCGAGATCATCTGTGTTCGCTGGAGCGCTCTTCACTCTGACCCTCCTCCTGGAGCCCTTGTCTCCCTCCCCTGGTCTTCAACCATGACCCCCCGCATGTCAGCCCTGCATGTCGTCCCTCCAAGAACCTTGTATGAGTCATGAACCCTGTTTTTAATGTGCATCTTTCTGTGTTTCCTGCTGAAAAACTGCTTTCCATCATCCATGGAAATCATATGAAACTCTGTGAAACTACAAAGATCATTAGCTGTTATGAAAGTTTTTAAAAAGTTCAAGAACATAGCCCCTTAAAATTAAAAAGACAGTTCAAGATCATCTTGTCGTGGCGATCGTGGCTCAAGAGTTGGGAGTTCGCCTTTTAATCGGAAGGTTGCCGGTTCGAGCCCCGGCTTGGACAGTCTCGGTCGTTGTATCCTTGGGCAAGACACTTCACCCGTTGCCTACTGGTGGTGGTCAGAGGGCCCGGTGGCGCCAGTGTCCGGCAGCCTCGCCTCTGTCAGTGCGCCCCAGGGTGGCTGTGGCTACAATGTAGCTTGCCATCACCAGTGTGTGAATGTGTGTGTGAATGGGTGGATGACTGGATATGTAAAGCGCTTTGGGGTCCTTAGGGACTAGTAAAGCGCTATATAAATACAGGCCATTTACATTTACCTCCGAACTGTTTCAGTGCAGCTGCTGTTTTTAGATCACTCTGCAGATTCAGTCCTTCTCTGTGAGCGCTGCCACGTTAAAACAGCACTCCTTCAATTTTGGTTTTTATTCTAAGGAAGTGCCTGAAGTTTCACTGAGGCAGAGCTGGTGAAAAGGGTGGAAGAGGAGGAATAAACATCGCCTCTGTTCTGTTCTCCCTCAAACACCTCAGGATGTTAGACTACAGTCTTTTTTGGAGGGGCGGTGCCTCTGATCTCTGTTTACACCTGATCTAGTGCCTTTACGTTTGCACACTGTGGACTTGTCAGTTTAAAAAAATGTTGACAATGGCTCGGTCATATCTGGACACCCAGCTCTTATGATAACGATCTTTCACTGGCAGTGTCAGTCTGAAACAGAAGTTGTCTGCTCTCTCCGTCCTCGCTGACATTGCAGACTGCCGAGGTGGTCACAATAAGGATAATTTGAAGCATTAGCGTTTTTTAGGTGGTAGTTATATCTGAAAAAGATCCTCACTACCATTTGTCACATCAGCAGTTCTTTTGACTTCACTGTCAGATGAAGACTCTTCATGATGTGACACAAAATTTCTTTTCTTCGCAAAAAGTTCCACGAGCACATCTCCTCCATCCCCTCATCACACTCTGGAGTTTTTAATGTGTGACACTGAAACGGCCCAAACAGGATGTGGTTCCCTTTGAAAGAATTTTGTTTTGTGACTTTATGTTCTGCAGTAAATGACTTCCTACTGAAAGGACTGGAAATAAGAAAAAAGTAATTTATTACTCATTGTGCAGCTGCATATGGCAGTAATATGTGATTTGCCAGAATATTGGAGTTTGTGTCACAGCACGCTGTTTGAGACCCGCTGCTGTACAATAATTACAAATTGGAAAATAATGATCTGCAGGATTTGTGCTTGTGTATCATGCACTTACCTCAGTAGTGTACCCCGTCATTTATGCTGTCCTTCCTTCTTTCCTTAAGTCCTCTGACCTCCAGTTTCACCTTTGTATTAATTCCCACCATGCTGACACCATGTGACAGTATAAACTGTTGTCGTGAACTCACTGAACACTGTTTGGGTTTTTCTGTTTTGCAGAGCTCAGCGATGTTTGGTCCATCTCCAGCGTCACTGTCCGGCCTGATTTACGGAGCATGCCTACTTCACCCAGCACCCCTCACCTGCCCACCATCACAGAGGAGTGAGAGGGAGGGAGATTAAAAAAGGAAGGTGCAAGTCAGGAAAGGACAGATAAGAGATGGAAAAAGTCCTTGTTGAGAGTGTGATGAAGGCCTGTCAAACTCTCTGATCTTAAGCTTTTGTTATTTAATTATTGTTGCTTATAATAGTCAGTCTATTACTTAGCATCAGTTTAACACCCACAAAATCGATGTGGATTGATGGGACTTGACAGTGTGAGCAGCCAACACAGCATTTGTCTTCACATTTTGATGGAAAACTCCGAGCAGTGCACAGAAATTTGTGACACCACCTTTTAACAAACAAATGAAAACTAAAAATGTTTGGAAGTCATGACAGAGAGAGCAGAAAGTAGACGGCACACTCTATTCTCCATCTGTCATCCTCTCGGTCTGTGGGTGGGCCGCCTGTGGAAGACGAACAGCTGGAAATAAAAAGCCTTCATTCATTACCCATCAGAGATGAAGCAAATGGACTGTGGACACGCGCCCTGGGGTGTCCGTTTCCATACTGTAATCTCATGATGCCATTAAATTCCTCAAAGTGAGGACAGTTAAAGACGAGACCAGAGGATGAGGACGTTTTCATTTCTGGTCATTCGGCACGGTGAACGAACAAAATAATGAACGTCTGCAGCTGCAGTGATCCATCAGTCACCTTTGTGCGTCTGCTCGCTGATGAAGGACCGAATGTTGATCAGAGACGCTCTGTGATAAACTGTAAACACAGAAGAAATGAAATGGACTCTTACATATGAGCTGTGCTTTTTCATTTTCAGCTGTACAGACATCAGGTGCATCAGACAAAAACCTTAAACCATGTCTTAAATGATCATTTGTGTGTCTGAATTGCTAGATTCAGTGTGTGAACTCGACACTGTTGGACTGACAGAAAGAATGTAAACCAAAGGCTCGGGAAGGGTACAGTTCATCTGTGTACTAAAGTGAATGTAATATTAAGTTTCCAAAAAGTATGCAGATTTTTGGCTGTATGTCCAACATGACATTTTTCCCAGGGTCAGATCTCAGTTTTACCACCGTGGGGAAAAAGTCATTTAAATTAGTTTATATATACATATATCTCTATATATTGCTGGTTAGCTTAATCTATAAGTACTATAGCATAATTAATCAGTAGGTTTATTTTTTTATAGTAATAGTCTAAACCTGCAATTAATAACTAGAGCTTTAAGATAAATGTAGTGGTTTAAACGTCCTACTGTAGGCTCCCCTGCATGCTGCAGGCATCACTGCTCGAGAGAGACGGCGGCTGCTGTCAGCCTGCAGAGGTTTACAAGGAATCTGCAAAATGTAATGATGGTGACAAACTAAACATTCAGTTTGTCTGCATCCAATCAGCTTTTGTTTTATCTTATTTCAGTCGCTCTGTCACCGTGTCAAACACACCTGGCGGTGGATGGTACCAGGTGTGAAGTTAGTTTTGTAGATCAAGGACTCTCATTGGCTTTTTACCTGTACTGGTTTTGAATGTGATTGGGTCAACGTGCCACTCACAGCCCTTCATCTTTGCTGTGTGTGTGTGTGTGTGTGTGTGTGTGTGTGTGTGTGTGTGTGTGTGTGTGTGTGTTTTAAGTCTTTTAAGTCTTTTACAGTTTATGGATCCATCAGTTTGCTGGGGTCCACTTTGGTCCAGGTGATGTAAATTTTCTTATCTGATATAAAGCAGGAGTCTCCGTGTGGAGGCCTGCGGGGGCGGTTGGGCAGACTTTGAGCAGACTTCAGAGACATTATGAATGAACACCGCTCTGATGTCTGCAGCTGACTGTGTATATTCCCCACCACTGCTCTTCACTCAGATTCAAACCCAAGTCTGCTTCAGTTTGTCAAAACAATCACTCTCACAAGCTTTTGAAAACCCCTCTTGCAATGCAGAGAGGTTTATAAGTTTAGTGGCTTGACTGAAGCAATTCAAATGAACAGAGTCGCACCTCTTCCAGGTTAGGTGATCACATGGTTAAACAGACCTGATGTTGGGGGTTATTGTTGAGCAGGCGCTGCAGAGCCACCAAGAACAAACTTGTTTATGGTGTTGTGTTGAGTAAAGTGGGGGCTGAATCTAAATCTAAGCTCCTAAATCCTTTTAACCGTCCGCATGGCTCTATTTTAGTCACACTGCCTCCCTCATTGCTTCTCCTTTCAGCAGCCTTGTGGACTTTCTTTGATGTGAGAATACTGACTGCAAGAAAAGTCTGTTTGTTAGTAAAACGTGCCAGCGGCACAAACTGCCCGACACGCGGGGTTTTTTTTTTTAAACTTGCTGCTGGTAATTTTATTTTGGTGTCTCATCAGTGCCAAGTGTGGTATCAGTGTCAGAGAAACCAGACTACTTTAATGAGGTGATAAGTGCAGTATCAGCGTTGTCTTCAAATATATACCCAGTATTTCCTGGCTACACACTGAATCTGTACTGTGTTGTCTTAACTTAAACTGATTTCAGCGATGAAATGCAGAGCGTCTTGTCAGCTTTGCAGGTGTGAAATCCGTAGGGTGATGCGGCCTTGGCTTTTCTGCTGTAAGCGGATTTGTTTTTCATCACTTTGATCGCACATCATACGTAAATGTGCCGGATTCTTATTTAGAAAATACAAAATAGTTTCTAAAAATTCTCCAATGGTGACTCATTATGCTAAAAGTGCAGTCTTTGCTACAAGCACATGTTTAATGGACCAATTTCTGTGTGGAAATGTGAGTAAAAACAAAACACTGGAAACCTGTCGACTTGGCGTAAAAAGTAATTTGCTGCTGTTTTTTTTTCTTTTTTTGTACCTCCAGTGCTTTTATCCATCCTTTATTTGCCAACTCCCGTCTGCAGTGCTTTATGTCAGTGTCTGCAGGCTCAGCTCTAAACATTCAGGGTGAAGAGCAACAGGACAGAGACAGTTTTGTTAGCTTTGACCAATCTTGTATGTTACTCCCCTCCTGTCCCCTAATCAGGGTCGTAACACTGATAATGAGAAGTAAATTAAGTGTCTCGTGTCTTAATTAAGGCACAAAATAAGACTTTGTACCCCTCAGCAGTAAAAGCCTGATGGGACGTTATCGTCACCCTGCCGGGCAGGCCGGTGGCATGGACACAGTTTGTGAATGGAGGAGAACGAAGCAACATTGTTACCACGGGTGCATCTTCTGAGAGGTTGAGGGTAACGCGGCAGCTGTCATTATTTTCCTATAGTGTTAAAATCTGCACAGTTTTCAGTAAATTCCCAGCTGCAGACTTCAGTAAATGATAATTCATTTAAGTACTCTCCTCCAAAAATCTTCAAAAAAGTCAGAATTAAACAGGACAGCTGAAATCTACCACTTATATATGCAACGAGGCAGTTGAAGTCTGACACCAGGTGTCCTTAGCAAATTCAAACGGTAGTTTTCAAAAGAGGGTTTTGTGCCAAATTTCTCCAATTTTAATCAATTCATAGATTTGAATAAATGATTTTGTTGGAAACTTGGAGCTGCTCTCGAGCAGACTTGCAGCTTTCCCTGTTCTGCACCACACTGGACTCCCATGTTGGGCCCACAGAGGGCTGGGTTTGGTCCAGCAGAGGCAGGGAGACACAAGACCTCCGAATGATTAGAGCTCAAACAGTCACGATGCACTGTAATCTGAATGTGTAGTTGGTGTTTGACAGTGGCTGATCTGCTGTGTAAGCTTGATGTTTTAACTAGTTTCTGTAAACAGCCGTTTTTAGTTGAGAGTAATACTCGAGCATCCAGAGGAACTGCTGGAATTTCACAGGACAGGCAGCAAACAAACAGCATCAAAGAAATCTGTGTAATACGTTTATCAACATGCTAATTGCAAATAAAATCTACTCAAAATCATAAAAACGTAGTTGATATTTTGTGACTTTTGACCAAAGAAAGCTACGAGAGTAGCTTTGTGCGATTGATGCCTGAAAATCCAGTCCATCCTATTCGTCTTACGGTGCTTTGCTGGTTATAGCATTTATGACGAGACCCGGATTCTTCATACAGAAATAATTATCCACTAATCATTAATGGGTTTTAAAAAAATCGATTGTTACCACCAATAATGGGCGGACAGACGTGTTTAAGTCGGCATGTGTTTGAGAAACCCTTTTATGCCAGTTTTTCAGTTAAGAAAAAAGTCAACAAGCAGCTGGGCACACAGCGCCATCAGCAGGCAGTCGGGTCGTCGCACTTTGGCCCAGCAGTGGGCCCGTTTTACAAGCAACTCTTACAGTTTATGCTAGAGACAAAATCCAAATGGTTCCTGAAAGATGAGAACTGTCCAGCCAAAACTACAAAATGAATTCAGGCATCCTGTTTGATACTTTAGGTGATAAAGTTTAAGACTCACTGAGACTTCAGGCCTCTCCGGGTTGAGGGGTTAAACCGTCCAAAACAGGCCACCTTTAATAAAGACTGATGATCTGGATTATCTGGTGCTTGGAAAGATTTCGTTTCGTAGTCAGTGCAGCGTCTCTGCTTTGCTGTCTTCATTCCTGCAGGAGTGCAAACATTTTTAAGCGGGTACAACTGAGGCTGTCTGTTAGTAGTTTGGTTCGTCGATCCTGGAGGGGTCCTGTCTGCACACCGAGGTTCTGTTCATTGGCTGCTCTTTAAATGTGACTCATCTTTTAATGTTACGGATGTAAGAGACATTTACAGGCAAAGTGGGACCTCTGAGGTGTTAAATGATAAAAGTCACTGAAAAGAGCGAGAGCATCAAATCTTATGTATCGCTTAGTGTTGTTTTTGAATAATGAGCTTCACACTTGGTGCTGAGAAGTGATCTGTGATATAATGTAATATTATAAAACTAGTATCATAGTTCAGATGCTAATCTTTCAAAATGTTAAATATGTTCTGGTTTTTTTACATTGTGCTGTTCTGACCTGCAATATTTTATTTTAAAGGAAATTATTTTGCTTTACTGTAACTTATCTGATGAAATGCTGCCGTCACCTGGTATTAAACATTACAAACAGAAGGTTTGATTCTTGAATTTTACAGACACGCAGTACAAAGTAGCAGTAGACCAGAAATCCAACTTTAGTAAGACATTTTAATCTTTTAGTATTTCAGACGTTTGACTGATCATACTTGTTTTGAATATTACAGTAGTGAAATTAATTAAGTTGAATCCAAATTTACTGAGTGCTTTGTACAAAAGTGAGAGCACACGTTACAGAAACACTACAGGAAGTCAGGATGATGAGTTACACAATCAGAGTCAAAACACAGACTAATACTCTGAAAACAGAAACACAAAAGGCAAAAACTTCAAACGCGAATGTATCAAATGGACTGATTGGCACAGTTACAAGCACCAGTTTATTATACAGACAAAAGCCCAGAGCTGGTTACCAGAAGAATGAAGGGTTCAACAGGTCGACGTAATGAGGTTAAAAAAAGAACCAGGCTGGAATTTCAAACACAACAAAAACACAATTATCATGTAAACCTTAATAAATTGTAAATTCAGAGCAAATAACTATAAAAAGGTTAATTAACTATCAACAGTGTTTACTGATTGTGGATAGGTTTGTTGCAACTTTATGATAAACATGCAGATCATTTTATTACCTTTACCTTCTGTTCAGTTAGATTTAGTGGATCATAGTTTAGGTTAAAATATCAAACTTAGCGACTCACACCGAGCCCCTGCACCACCAGACCGACGCCACCGGACACTCAAGTCTGAGACACCAGCAGCTTCGACATAAATTTATTACACAAACGAAAGTCAAAAACTGAACCATGAGACCTTTATTGTAGTATTTTTAATTGATATCTGACTTAGCATCTGTACCTGCAAGAACAGTGAACAGTGAAACTGAGTCGCTGTACATTTCCAGGAGCTCAGCCTTGATATGGAGCTACGCGTTTGCTTCTGTTAAATTCATTAGTTGTTCTCATTAATAGGACTTTCATGAGCTAATCTATAGTTACTCAGTAATGATTTGCTAATACTTTGGACAAATTGTACTTGAATGCCTGAGTACAGGTCTAAATGGATTTTGCATCTAAAACCTTTAATATGTATTAAAAGGGAACTCGAACTTAATATCCATAGTTTGCAACTTCCAAATGTACTCTTATTTTACTTTAACTGGGAGTTCCAACAGAAATCAGCAAGTGTGGTTTTTCTTTGTACCTCGTAAACATCAAAAATGATGATGATTGCCGTGGCGTATAACCAGAGTAATGGCGACCTTTACAGGTCAAAGTGTGTATTTAAGATTTATGTAACAGTGAAAATATCAGCGTTTTTAACAGCATGTTTTAGCAGGAGAGGACATTTACTTTGTGTCTTCCTTCTATATTTTTATATCCCCCTTGCTATAAGGGCTGTGTAACATCCAAATTTCTCATTCGCTGGATAATAAAGATTTAAAGACTTACACAAGTAGGTAGGCAAAGTTTACTTTAAACCAGGGGCGGGGGAACTCTAGGTCTCAAGGGCCAGTGGCCTGCAGGTTTTAGATGTGTCCTTGATTCAATACACCCGATTTAAATAGTTAAATTACCTTCTCGACATACCTTGCAGTTCTCCAGAGGCCTGGTAATGAATTAATCATTTGATTCAGGTGTGTAGACCCAGAGTGAGATCTAAAACCTGCAGGACACTGGCCCTCGAGGACTGGAGTTGACCAAGCCTGTTTTAAAGGCAGGAAAAAGTGACGTGACTGATGGTAGTTTGTTTTAACTCAGGGTCCACATTACTCATCAGGACAGTATTGGCTTTGATCCTGATTAGGTCAATTCCAGTTCAAAAGATAGAACTCATCCATATTAGGAAAACTGAGATTCAGCTGGAAACCCCATAACCAGCTAACAAGTGACCTTTGAGAACATTTTTACAAACTAGAATGTAAAAGCCTCATACAGGAAGAAGCAGCAGCTCTCACAGAAATGACGCAATACAGGCAAAAATGTAAAACTGAACAGTTGTAAAGAAATAAAAAGTGTAAACATAAACCATGAGTATTAAAATAATCCCCTGTATTAAACTGTGACACACTGAAGTCATTAACCTAAAGATTAAAAACATGTTACAGGTCAATTTAGTGTCACAAAAACAACAGAAAAGTTTTAAATAAGCTCAGAGGTGTGCTACGAAGGACGTTCACCACAGCCAGGTTTTCTTTGTGTCAGCTGGACAAAGAAAAACCTGAAACCAAAGTCACGTCATGTGACTTTATCCACAGAAAATGATCCCCGTGAGTGACACCTACTTTAAAGTCACAGATGATAAAAATAGTGGTACAAATTTGAATATTTTAATTCAAGCCAAGCGCACTCTGCGCTGCTGATTATTTCTAACCTGACGGCTGCACATCAGAGCTCTGAAACCTTAAACTGGACACATTTAAACAGTGAAATACTTGAATAATCTTTGTGTGTGTTCTGGGTTCTAGATGCTGCAATTGCAGCAGTGTAAAGCAGACTAAACTGTAAATGAGGAGCACTTATAAAAACATTTCCTGTATTACCAGCTGAGTACATGCAGATTCACATGTCAATGCCATGCAGAGTTTATGCTGCTGTAAGTTTGTCATGGTAGTAAAGTGCAGCTTAACAAGTTGCATATCAAACGTATTCCCACAGCAGAGGATTCATATTGCACTTAAAGCATGATGTAAATATGAGTCAGTGACTTAACTCTGAGCACAAAACCTGCTCCTGACCAGGTTATTGTGCCAGTTAAACAGAGCCACTTTCATGACAGAGGAAACTCTGACTTTAAGCTCGACATGGCCCACTAAGCCATCGTAGTACACCCCTCTGGCCTCCTCTCAGTTTGGACCTAAGGTCAGGGAAAGAACTACTAAAAACAAATGATGAACTGGAACCCAATAAGAGCAGACGATACACATGAACATAAAATCTCAAATGTGTCTGACCTTGACTTCCAGGAAGTGTTGTATCAAAGAAAAGCCATAAACTTTTGACTGAGTATTTCAAGATGCTCAAAAAACAAATCGCTAAATCTGCTGTAAGGCTCTAATTTACACACATGAAACTAACGAATGACAAATGTGTGTTTCAGGGTATTTACAGAGTTACCAGCTAAATTTAAGACCTTTTTAGCCCTTTTATTAAAAATTAATATACAGTCTAATATCAGTTTGAAAATCATTGATGTTAAATTTACTGAAATGTAAGTTCCTGTTAATGCTGCATATGAAACTACAGCTATTTAATCATCTGGATAAGATGGACGGATCGAGTAATTCAAAGAACAAACATTTACTCAGTGAGAGATGAGAAAATATACGTCTTTAAAAGACTACGCTGTTTTTACGCTCTCAGGCTGGATGGTTTTTGTGATCTCAGATAATCTTTTTCTACACTCTGAGCTACTTTTTAAAATCAGCCTCAGTTTGATGAGTTCTGACTCTTCAGCCTCATGTCTCAGCTGAATGTTTCTGTATATTTTAACTCCTTCTGGGGTAATTTAGATGTCTGCAGAGTTCATCAAATTATTTGTGAAAGTGCTGAAGAAACAAAAGGAATCAGCAAGAAATGGCCTAAAATAATTTATTATCTGTGTATGTATTAAAACAAGTAAAGGAGTAGTCAGTCCATTAGTTTGACCTAAACATGTACAAGTGAACTTTAATGGATGGATTTGCTTATAATGAGGCAGGGGGTCCCCACAGGTGTGACATCTGAAACACGTGATATCGTAAACATTGGGCAAAAGTAAGAGGCTTTAATGCTCTCTAAAACCTGCACAAACCCTGTTAACAGTCAAATATCCCCTTACAGCAGTCTGGCGCATTAGCGTGTTGCTATGCTAATATGTAAAAATGCTCAATTAGAAGTCAGGTTAGCATAAAGTGCTAATACAGGGTCATGTTCAGGGTCACTGCAGTGTGTACTTAAGGCTCAGACCTGACGATGACAGCGTCTTCTTAAGGTGACGCAGTCAGAAAGGACAGTTCAGAGGTAGTCATCCTCACTGGACGGCTCGTCTTCATCATAGCTGTAGTGGTAATTGTTGCTGGGGCCTTCGCCGGGGTCGCTGCTGCCGCTAGCATTCGAACTCTCCCAGGTGAACTTTGACCCTTCTGTGCTAGCAGAAGGACTGCGGCTCATCCTCCAAAGGTGGCTGGTAAAGGTCCGCCCCCAGCTGCAGTGCTGGCCAATAGGACGTAAGAGGCGGATGAGCTCAGTGGCTTCCTGCCAGTAAGAAGTTCACTTGCTGTGGCCCCGCCCTGACCGGTGCTTGTTCATGGTGGTCAACATTTGGCTGATGTAGGAGGTCAGCAGGTCATCCATCTTGTAGCCCTGAAGGTTTAATCACACAGTCAGCTGACCTCTCCACTCCAATCACATTTTTTATTATAGTTTTACATAATTCCCTTTTTTTTGGTTTCATTTAAGTGGAAAGAATAAATAAACTGATACAATCAAGTTTAACTATACTATAAAACAAAGCTACAATGTCTGTGAAGGTTCTCAGTCATCCAGGTTATCGTAGTCAAAGGAGCTTGCAAAGAAAAGCGTCTGGACTTCTTTAAGTTGCTTGAAGACGTTTCACCTCTCATCCGAGAAGCTTCTTCAGTTCTAAGGTCAAATGGTGGAGAGTCCCACATTTAAACCCAGTGGGAGTTTCCCCCCACAGAGGGACAAAAGGACCCCCTGATGATCCTCTAATCGCCTGAGTCAAGGTGTGAAACTGGGTGTGGGTCCCAATCAGCCAGAGTTTTGGGTGAGCTCATTGTGAAACCTGGCCCCACCTTATCATGCGAATTCCTGAGGTCAGATGGCCCAGGATGTGAGTGGGCGTTAAGGCGTCTGGGGAGGGATCTCAAAACTGGATTATAGATGGCAGAGAGTTGGTGTCGTAAACCACCGCCTCTGTTCAAAGACGGTCGCTCACAGTGGACATAGATGGCTTCTTTCACTTCTCTTTCAGCAGCTGTACAGTGCAGCGAGGAATGCCCAGACCTCTACATTGGAGAGACCAAACAGCCACTTCACAAGCGCATGGCACAACACAGAAGAGCCACCTCCACAGGACAAGACTCAGCAGTCCATCTGCATCTTAAGGATAAAGGTCACTCTTTCGAGGATGCCAATGTTCACATTTTGGACAGAGAGGACAGATGGTTTGAAAGAGGAGTGAAAGAAGCCATCTATGTCCACTGTGAGCGACCATCTTTGAACAGAGGCGGTGGTTTACAACACCAACTCTCTGCCATCTATAATCCAGTTTTGAGTTCCCTTCCCAGACGCCTTAACGCCCACTCACATCCTGGGCCAGTTGACCTCAGGAATTCGCATGATAAGGTGGGGCCAGGTTTCACAATGAGCTCACCTGAAACCCTGGCTGATTGGGACCCACACCCAGTTTCACACCTTGGCTCAGGCGATTAGAGGATCATCAGGGGGTCCTTTTGTCCCTCTGTGGGGGGAAACTCCCACTAGGTTTAAATCTGGGACTCTCCACCATTTGACCTTAGAACTGAAGGAGCTTCTCGGATGAGAGGTGAAACGTCTTCAAGTAACTTAAAGAAGTCCAGACGCTTTTCTTTACAAGCTCCTTTGACCATAAAGCTACAATAAACAAACACACACTTTCTACTGGAAACAAATATCAAACAATAAAAAAATAAGATAAACTAATGTTTCAATAATCATGATAGACTCAGAAATAAGCGATAAACACAAACCTAAGTCTTTTTTTAGAATTCGTGAGACTTTCCTAATTTAAAATTTTTTTTTAAGTTTATTCAAAAAGAAAAGATTTTGGGACTGTAAAATGCTCCACTCACCACCGACACTTTTAGAGCTGCGACAACAATCGAATCCTGCTTAAGCCTTTCATGCAGCGGTCCCCAATCCCCGGGCCGGTACCGGTCCGTGAGTCGTTTTAGTACTGGGCCGCGAGAGTTTAGGCTCAGGTGTGAAAATGTATGGCACACACACTGGTCATTTAATGTTACTACAGATGTGTGACGCGTTTCATTGTAATTGTTATTTAACCCTGTCATGCATGAATGATGGCAACCTCAATCAGGACTTTTTTCTTAAGTAGTTTTATTTATCTTTTTATGCCTAAAGATGAATAAAAATAACTAAGAAAAAAATCCTGATTGAGGTTGCCATCATTCATGCATGACAGGGTTAAAAAGTGTTGTATGAATAAAATACCCACAGGACTTTCACTGTGAATACTCGTAACGCAGCAATGCTCCACCTTCTAAACCTCTGACTCCCAGCTCAAGCACCTGAACTCTTAGTAAATCAAACATAGAACAAAAGTAAGTGTGTGTGTGTTTAAGTTTTCATTGCTGGCACCCACCAGTGAGGTCTCACACAGCAGTTTGCTTCCTCTGACCAGGTTGCCGATGGTGATGTGGAAATAGGTGTTCCCGCTGCTCCAGTTGGAGATCTTGGTGAAGGGGTGAGTGGTCAGGATGTCCTGCAGACACAGAGGTCATCAAAGCTACTGCACCGGCTTAACAGGTTAACGAGCGCAGCGGCTAAAACATAACCGATACGTATGCCGGGAGTTATGATTATTAACGAACCTTTGACTTGGGGTCAATGAGACTGACTCCATGCTTGTTGATGGCGATCAGCAGGATCTCCGGGTAGTTGGGCTCTGTGGTTTGCTAAAAGACAGAAGCCACATGTTAGGATGGGTAAATATTCACTAATCATCTCTAACCTTACATGTAAAACTGTTGCGTTTCTCTGTAGTTTGTAGCATAAATGTGGACTCTGTGTAATCAGGTGTTTCAGATGGCGGGTGCAGACTACACAGCACTGATTCTTCCATCCATCATCATCCCGCTTTTGCTCCTTCATGTTCACAGCTGTAAACAGCTGGCAGAGTGCTCGGCGCTCACACTGGACGTGTTGGTTTTCTGTCTGTTATGGCGCCCTGCACAATCAAACTGACCTCTCATTAACGTGAAAGTTATTATTGATAACTAAAATAAACACACATCTCAGTTTGTAGCCAGCATTAGGAGGCGTTGGAACATTTGTCTGCATAACTACAGCCTGTGTCATACCTGCTCTGAACTTTGCCCTTAACAAACAGTACCCATTACTTTAACTGAGAGAAAACTAAGACTGAAAACTAATAAAAACTAACTGAAACAAGTAAATCTAACTGAGCCACTAACACAATCTGTAGTCAATTTGATGTAGATCATCCACAACTACTGAAGCAGCCTGAAGGAAAATGGCAGAATGATTATTTATTGCCTTATTTTCTGCGTTTATTCCAATTTCGTTATTTTTTACTTTGAGGTGGGAGTTCGAGAAGTCCAGAGACGTTTGACAAAGACTTTGTCGGTCTTTTCCTCTGATCATTTTTTTAGACTGTGGCTGTGAAAAATACTGGAGATCTTGCAGGATAAAGTCGGTTTCTATTGAAATGAGAACATTCGGAGATTTCAGCCACAGTTGCCCCGGAAACAGCACGAGGTCGCTGATTGCTTGAACAAACGTTGTTTTTTTACACATTTGCCTCAAAACAAAAACACATTTAATTTAATGTGAACACTTTTTGGTGATGTTAGACATTCGTCCTTCCTGGCATCAGCCAAACACTCAGGTTACACTGTGGAGGTGACAAGCTCAGGCGCGTTTACCTTAACCTCAAAGAAGGCGGAGCCAAAGGTCGGCCATTTGTAGATGACCTTCAGAAACATCAGTTTGGCCTCTTCCCTTGATTTCCCGGCCTGCTTGTTGAAGTATGCAACAACAGACTGCGTGCGTACACACACACACACACACACACACACACACACACACACACACACACACACACACACACACACACACACACACACACACACACACACACACACACACACACACACACACACACACACACACACACACACACACACACACACACACTCTCTCTTACTAAACAGCAGCAGCACAGACTTCAGCACAGAAACAACAGCTGTTCTTTTCTCAAAGCAGCTGATTTGTCAAACTTTAGATGATCTCAGCAGAAACACTGATCAGTCTGTACAAACATCTGACTTCAGTAACTTTAAGTAATTTTTAAAAAGCTTGTTTTTTGTTTTGTTGGGGGAGTTTTACCCTCTTCCAGTCATCTGGTGACATCTGGCGGATGAGGTCCTGAGGAACCAGCTCCCGAAGCATCTTGGGAATTGTGGGAAAATGGGATTTGTCATCTTCGAACTTGACGCGATAGATAAGCGCTGCGAGCTGGAAAACCTCCTCTCGTGAACATTTGTGGTAGCCACGCAAGTATTTAGGCAGCTCCTAAATCAGTGCAGAGATGGTGAGAGAACAAAGAGACGCTTCGTTAAACTGTTGGTGACAAAATGAAACCGCACACAAAGACCATCTTTAAAATGAACGTTTCCAACACTGGACGAGACGCTGTCATTTTGAACAATCATGGAGGTGTACAGATGTGCCCATGCTTTTTCAAAATAAATTGACTAATATATACTGATATGTACTGTGTGGCACATGTAACAGGAATAATCAGCTTCCTCTCCAGTGAGTTCTTCTGTGAACAGGGGGCTGCTCATTTATGGCAAATATAATCTTTGTGGGTAATTATTTAACACGACTCCTCAGTCTTGCTGTGCTGTTAGTACTTTTAGCTCCTCTAACCAGCATTGGTGAGCTCTGCATAGCAGCTCTAGTTCTCCACCTGCTGCAGGTTCTGGGGTTCTGCAGCTAAGAGACACGAGCCCGACCTGACGGCCTGCAGCTGAACTTTCAGAATAAGATCCAAGGGATTGTCCAGTAGTAAGTAGACGCTGTTGTCTCAGACAGATAGGAAATAATGTGATTACATGATATGTGCCCCACTAAAACAGAATCTTAACGTGGAAAGCACGTGCATAGCTATCGTCTTACACAGGAAACTGTGTTTAACTGATCTGCGTTTCCAGTCGGACTGACAGTAATGACTGGCACGTGGATCAGGAAGTCTGGGGTCAGATATAAGTCCTGAAACATGCAGGCCGAGTCGTTCTCAGTGCGTCTCTGGTAAAACTGACCTGGTAGTAGTGGAAGATGGAGTCAGCGAAGGAGTCCTTCCCTGGAACCGTGTTAGTCCACAGCTTCTTCATGAAGAACACCTGATAGGTCAGAGAGGGAACGATTCCTGCACGACGAGATGGAAGGTCGAAGGTCAGCATGAACTGTGATTCCATGTAACTTTGCAGTTAAGCAAACCCCAACAAACTAACGGTGTATTCAGCACAAACACACAGGAGTTCAGCTGGAGTGTTTTTACTGTTTCTCAGCCAACAAATATTCACCGAACAGCCAATGACGAAGAAACATTTTCAGAACTCACCCGAGTCCAAGAAATTAAGTTTAAACTTCTCTATCTTGTCATTTTTTCTTCCATCTCTGTTTAAGTTTTGAAAACACTGCACGACGTGAACTTGTCCACCATTCTGGGCGTGTGGTGATCAGGATGATAATGATGCTCGATAAGAAGGCCCCCGGTCAGCTTGGCAACCGGCAGCCGCTGGTCGTTAACACAAGCCAGAAACAGACTGTTGGCCTTCAAAGTAAAAGCTGCACCTTTTGAAACGTGTTGGCTGATCTTACTCGCTGCTGTATTCTTAATGAATACCACGTGATGTTCAGTTTATAAATCACTCCCATTAGAGTGGAGAGGATAACAAACCAGTACCTTCAAAGAGCCATGATGGCAACAAACGCTCAGCTTCACTGACCAACAACTGACCCCACGGTGGCTACATGCATACATCTGTATATTACACAGCAGGAATGCCTACTCCTCTCCATCTGTTTTTGCTTTGAATGTAATCAACTTGTCTTATTTCCTCTGAACACAAGTCTGTAACACACACACACACACACACACACACACACACACACACACACACACACGGTGTATGTGGTGAAAAACACTGTTTATCATGTGCGCTCTAATCAGAGATCTGTCATGAAGGTTACACCGAGAAGTTTTGTGAAACTGTTTGATCAGCATGAAATCTGCAGTTTGTTTTATTAAATATTAACTTCTCATTAATATTTCACAGTTTTGCTTTTAAAAGTCCTGAACTCAACCCAAAGATATTTTAAACACGGTACCGACCGTCTTTAGCCGGCCGAGATTTCTTGATCCAGTCCGTTAAATGTCTGACGAAGTCAAAGAAGAAATCTCCCTCAGGTACACTGATCACCTGCAGAGGGCACACACAGAAACATCAGCGTGAAGTTAATCAAGAAATTAAACTTTGTGAATGAAAGATTTGTGTTGTTATAGAGAGCAGCTGTAATCATTGAAGTGTTAAATGCAAGACTCAAAAGCAATAATTCATCAATTTTAAGAGGCAATGTTTAAACTGTTAACAATCAAAAGAATTAAAAAAAATTAATTCAATTGCTATATAAAAGTGACATCTACTCGACCATATAGCGGTAATTTTAGAAACCTACAGAAATGGTTTGTAAGCTGCACACAGAATCATAACTGTGTCCTTAAGACATTTAAATGTATTTGTATTTAGAAACTTTACATTTTCGTGTAAAAACTGCAAGTTCCTTCTGTTGAGGACGTGTTTTGTGGTTAAGGTGGAACAAACTGTAAAGGAACAATAGTGATGACTAGTACAGACATCTAATAATCCCAGTATTTCTTTAGAGTTGTGTACTGGTTTGAGGAAAACCTCCTGAAACCAGTAAAGCTGTAATACTCTGAGGTTCTGAGAAACCATCGTTGACCTCTGACCTTGTCCGAGATCTTGACGAAGAGGCTGAAGCCTTCGGGAGATTTGAGCAGCAGTCTGGTGGAAATGTTCTGACAGAAATCCTTCGCCTTGGTGCTCGACTCCACCTCGAAGGCCTGCAGGTGTGAGACCAACACGAAGACTCATTTTTCAAACACGTTTATTTACAGAGAAAGTTTACACCTGCAGGCTTGTGTGTCCGACCTCGTCTGTGTCGTCGGGGAAGTAGACTTTATGGAAGATTTGGGTCGTTTTATGTTGGATGGCCTCCACTTCCACCAAATGAGGAGGGTACTTCCTGGATCCATTTCTGTTAATGATGACAAAAAGCAGCAAAACTGGTTGGAAAAAAAAAAATATGTCAACACCAAATACGATGATTGTTTCAGGCTGAAAGTCTGAGGTGTTACCGTAGCGCTTTGTGCACCCTCTGCATGCAGTCTCCAGACAGCGGGTGGTGCTTCTTGGACTGGAGGTAGCGCTGGATGTGCGGCAACAGCACGTTACTGGGAGGAAACAACCCAGTGCACAACCACAGCAGCTCCCAGCCTTTCTCCTCACTGTACCTGCAGCAACACAACACTCACCTTCAGCTTCTGCACAGAAAAATTTAATCTGCCTGCAGCCACAGACTGAATGATGACTGTCCACTGAATGCAACAAGTAATGTGAACATTTAGTTTTAACTTCTTCTACTCAATTTATTTTGCATAAAAGCACTTTTGCTTCATTTCATGGACAAAGCAGCATCTCTGGGGTTTTTATAGGGGTGGGTTTTGATTATCGATTTAGCGATTAAAATCGATTCTAGCTTGGATAACGTGATATCGATTCATTCAAATCCTGAATCAATTTTTAAATATAAATTAATTTTGCCCTCAGGTTAAACCTCAAAATTTCAACAACCACCGAACAGCTAAAACAGTAAACGAGAGCAGGAACACGGATTCTGCACAAAGACGTAAACACAAAGCGCGGACCCGCCGACGGATCAGAATCAGTGAGCTGTCGGCTTTCTCACCCGACGGCACGGACACGGTCGGGGCTAAAAGCTGACAGCTCACTGATTCTGATCCATTGGTGGGTCCGCGCTTTGTGTTTACGTCCTTTTTGCACTCGATTCTGAAGCTGCAGGTTTATGGTAAATGGCCTGTATTTATATAGCGCTTTACTAGTCCCTAAAGACCCCAAAGCGCTTTACACATCCAGTCATCCACCCATTCACACACACATTCACACACTGGTGATGGCAGCTACATTGTAGCCACAGCCACCCTGGGGCGCACTGACTTTATCTCTCTCCAAACAATATTGACCGAACCAGCAGCAAAAGAAGATCCAAACTTCGCTTCACATAAACATCGTCATGAATTCACTCTGACTTTTGCTGTTTTGCTTCCACCACGATAAAAATCACACTTCATGCAGAGCTCTCTCTCCCTCTCTGTACTTCAAGAACAGTTTCCCGTCTAAAAATCTGTTTTCTGCATTATTCGCTTGCTTATTACGCACACGTCTACCGTTGTTTACAGCGCTGTCGGCCGCTGCTTTTTTCCCTTTTACTTCCGAAAGAAAGCCTCATTTCTGCCGTTCAATTCTGAACAAATTTAAACTTTTTAAAATTATGCAAAATTGCAAAACGCTCAGCTGTGTCTGTAATCAAACCTCTGTAACTTTGCTCTGCTTCACTTCAGCAGCATCAGCCAATGTTCATGTGTTGATTAATGGTTTTCTTTCGTTTTTGATCTACTGCAGAATATTTTTATAAATCCCAGGCCAGGAAAATCACCTTCATGTTTTTCTATGTTTTATCCTCAGCTATTTTGACACAAAGGCATCTGCTGTGATGCTCACACCTTTGATAAAGTCTCGCAAGTTTCAGCTTTCTTTTTAATAGACAAAAAAAAAATATGGACATGTACTGATGCGTGATCAGAATTATAATATTTCTGACTGTCTGAGGATAAATTTCTCTGAATCGAATAGAATCGAATGGTGGAACGCATTGATTCTAGAAATCAGTGATGATACCCAGCCCTAGTTTTTTTAATTAAATCAGTGGGGGGAAATACAGTTTCTCTAATGGCCACTAGAGGCCGACTCCACCACAGGTTGACAGGCCGGCACAAAACAGCATCATTGTCTATTTCACATCCCCCAAAAAACCAACAAAAATCTGAGTTTCATCCACGTGCACCTCATCGTTTTATCCTTAAAAATCTGTAAATGAAAGTGTGACTGAGGTGAATTTACACACTTGACGTGATTGTCTGTGAGCTGTTTGATGATCTGACAGTAGATCTCATCCTTCAGTGGTTCGGCCTTCAGCGCCCCTTCAAAGATCTGGTCCGTCAGCTCGTTCACCGAGCGAGTTCGTTTGGACGGGTAGTCGCCCATGTACTTCATGATAGGTAGGCTCTAGGTCAAGGAATAACCCTGACACATGTACAATATAAAAGCAGATTATAAAAACAAGAGCTGAGACTGTGGCAGACGTTTAACTACCAGGGAGCAAAAAAGGCTTTTTAAGTTTTTACCATTTACCAGATTTGACTGGTGATTCTTTACATGCAGTTTTTATGGACAGGTGGCCGCTGAAATGAAAGTTATTTTTGATCAAACTTCAAAGTAAACCCCCAGGTAAATGTGTAAAGGTATCAGAAGTGGCAGTAGGTTCTAGCAGAGTACCCTGACCTGCTTCTAAGAGGTGTTTCTAACCTGCATCTGATAGTCTTTCCCTTACAGTGTAAAATACAAACGATGTAATAACAGAGACAAAACTCAAACCATGATAGAAACGCAGAAGATCATCTAATTAGAATGGCCCTAAACTCTGAGAGAGATGAACGCCGTTACTGTTAACGATGAATGCTTGTGAAAACATGTCTGTGGGCTTAGTCTGAACACAACATAAGCTCAGAGTCTGCTTGGTGATCCACCAGTCGGCAGTTTAAAGGATATCTATAAAAGACATGCAGGCGTCCTGAGCCAGCTCCTCGTGGCTGACGACCTTCTTCAGCAGCGGCTGTTTCAGCGGCTCTCGGGTGCAGCTCCACAGCTTGTCTTTCCCGCGATTCTTCGTGACCATCACCCGGCTCAGGGTGTGTTTGGGAGGAGGCCTGACAGGAGCAGGTTACACAGAGATTGCAGGACTCAGGAATGAAGGCAGAGGATCATCAGAACAATAGATATTTGTTTTTGAAGCAAGAATCTCTATCTATCATGTTTTTTGGTCTGTGTACCTGAAGTAGTCGTAGGAGAACTCCTCCAGCGTGTAGGGTTTCGTTCTGTCATCAGTTTCCACCATGACGACCTGCGAAACACGAACCGACTCCTGACGCTGCTCGGGCGTCATGGTGACCAGCGCCTGATAGTTCGGATCACATCAGACTGCATCATGTTTTGTGTAAGCACAAAAGACAACCTAACACAGCAGCATCTGTGACATCACAGTGGGCCATCTTTCATATACAGTGTATGATCTCTAAACTGTTAAACAGGAAATGGGAACATTTTGTAATCTTAAGATGTAATAAAAACATAATTTTGTGGTTATTGTGCTTTTTGCTGTTGTGCGTACAATCTCAGCAGTCCTCTTTTTGTTTTTTGCTTATCCTGATGTTTGGCTATAGTCTCCTTTAAATGCTGAAAGCCCATTTTTGAGGCAGTTTGATGCTCATTAGGTGGTTGGAGGAGTCACTAAGGTGGCTCTGAAATGACTGAAAGTGCCCAGTAATCACATTTTTTGTATTCTCAGACGTTTTAGGTATGTTTTCCTCCTCACCACTATGTCCTGCTGAGGTCGGGTCATGGTGGGCAGGACGTAGACGCAGTCCACCGGGAAGTCTCCCTTCTGATTGGTTCGTTCGTTAACACCGTGTGCCCAGCCAGAGTTGAGGACCTGCTCGCCGGTCTCCTGGTCCAACAGGATCAGGTCTCCTTTCCGGAAGCTCAAGAACGTCGACTCCTCTCCAGCTGAGGAAGAAAACGGCACTTTGTAAATCTTTTCCACACTGGATTTATTTCATTCCAAGCTGAGCGTGCCTCTCTGCTCAGGACTCACTGGGGTTGTCCTGCAGAGCGACCACAAACTTTGACCTCTTCCTCAGACCCTCCAGGAAGGTCACCACCAGGTCCCGTATGTCCTCTGCGTTGTTGGAGGTGAAGGTGTACTCGTCTCCTTTGATGGTCGCTAAAGTGAAACTCTGACCCTGCAGCTTTCCTCCCCTGAAAGAACAAAATATGCACTGACCAGCTTCGCTGTCCAGGATGACGATGAAATTTACATTTAAGTTTAGGCTCCACTTTATACGCTGAAACTCTTAACCCCTCATTCCTCACTCACGGCCCTCCGATCAGAGAATCATGTCATTGGTCAGGTGACTACAGGTAGACTCACCTGCTGCTGGAAACTGCAGTGATTTCTGGGAAGGAGAGCTCTAAGAGGACCTGTTCCTGCTCATCTACAAAATAAACTCCCGTCCAGTTGACGGCGACGATGAGGTCGTTTTTAGGCAGACTGGGACCTGAGAAGTAAAGATCAAAATAAATTTAAAAAAGAAAAGAACTTACAGAACCAAGAGGTTAAAATATAAATAACAATTCTGAATAATTTTGCTTTAAACAATATCCGTCTTTATTTTCGTGTCACATTGTATCAAAGTTAGTGGAATGAAAATCACTGATGGCAGACTGGAGGTGCTACAGCAATGCCGCTGGTACTTTGCATAACATTAAAGGGTCATATCATGATATCAGTGCTACAGCAACCCTATGCAGGCACGTTTCCTAGTGCCCAAAAACAACACAAGCCCAGGAATGTCAGCTTATCTAAAAAGGGAGCTACTTCAACGACAAGAAGCACAGTACTGAAGGTGGAAAAACTGATGTGTTGCAGCACTCGAGGCAAGAAATGCACTCCTCATTTGCATTTTTTGAGATGCAAATGAGGAGACTTCACTCAGGCAAGTCTGCTGGACCAGACGGAGTGAGTCCCCGCGTCCTCGTGTCTGTGTCCCCCAGCTGTGTGGAGTCTTTCATAAACTGTTTATGCTGAGTCTGAGTCTGCAGAGGGTCCCAGTGCTGTGGAAGACATCATGCCTCATCCCTATTCCAAAGACGCCACGTCCCAGTGGCCCCCAGGATTACAGGCCCGTGGCACTGACCTCCCACATCACGAAGAGCCTGGAAAGGCTCATCCTGGACCAGCTGCGACCCATAGTAAGACCACATCTGGATCCCCTTCAGTTCGCTTATCAGCCTCGTCTCGGAACTGAGGACGCCATCATCTACCTGCTCAATCGTGTCTACACCCATCTGGACCAGCCGGCGAGCACTGTGAGGGTCATGTTTTTTGACTTTTCCAGTGCTTTCAACACCATCAGGCCGACCCTCCTGGGTGATAAGTTAGCAGCGATGCAGGTGGATGCTTCTCTGGTGTCCTGGATTGTTGATTACCTGACAGGAAGACCACAATATGTACGTCTCCCACAGTGTGTGTCTGACAAGGTGATTAGCAACACAGGGGCACCACAGGGGACTGTCCTCTCCCCCTTCCTCTTCACCCTCTACACCACAGACTTCAGCCACTGCACAGAGACCTGCCATCTTCAGAAGTTTTCTGATGACTCTGCGGTGGTTGGATGCATCAGCAGGGATGATGAGACAGAGTACCGGGCTGTGGTCGACTCCTTTGTCACATGGTGTGAGCAGAATCATCTGCAGCTCAACGTGGCAAAGACCAAGGAACTGATCGTGGACTTCAGGAAGACCAGGAAACACTTGACCCCTGTTTCAATCCAGGGGGTCAGTGTTGACATTGTGGAGGACTATAAATACCTTGGAGTACACATTGACAATAAACTGGACTGGGCTAAAAACACCACAGCACTTTACAGGACGGGCCAGAGTCGTCTCTATTTTTTGAGGCGACTGAGGTCCTTCAACATCTGCCAGAAAATGCTGAGGATTTTCTACGAGACTGTTGTGGCCAGTGCGATCCTCTATGCTGTTGCATGCTGGGGGAGCAGGCTGAGGGTCGCAGATGCCAACAGACTCGATAAACTGATCCGTAAGGCCAGCAATGTTGTGGGGATGGAGCTGGACTCCCTCAAGGTGGTGTCGGAGAGGTGGATGTTGTCCCACCCACTCCATGACATGCTGGTCAGTCACAGGAGCGCGCTCAGTGAGAGACTGAGATTACCGAAAAGCACCACTGAACGACACAGGAAATCATTCCTGCCTGTGGCTCCCTGTACAACTCATCCACTTAACACACCGTTTACTGCAACAGCTACACCCTTCTTGCACATGTTCTTTTTCATTTATTTATTAATAAGTGACTTTTATGTATATATATATGCCTGCATATATTGTGCTATTCTTAGTTAGTGTATTGTCTGTCTCCGTTAATGTTTGTTTATAATGGAGCACTGTAACGAAAAATAAGGATTCTGATTCTGATAAAAACAAACTGCTGAGCATCACTGTAGCGCTCGCCAGCTGCACTGCTTTATGACAGGAGGAGCAAGCAGTGGATGGAAATGACTGATGATGGAAAAGCAGCTCCTTAAGAGTTTACAAAGGAGTTTTTCCTTCCCACTGTCTCCAAGTGCTTGCTCATAGGGGGGCGTCTGACTGTTGGGGTTCTCTCTGTATTATTGTAGCATCTCTACCTACAATATAAAGCACCTTGGTGCTATATAAATACATTTTATTGAACTGAGTAACTTCAGTCATAGTTGAAATAAACCTTAATCAATCATTTTACCAATAATCAATAAAACTGTTCAGTATTTTCACACTTTAACTAAGTGTCACCAAAGTTGTTCAAAGTAATTTAAAAAAAGTTTCACCTGAAAACTTGAAGGCTTCGTAGAAACGAGAGAACAGCAGAGGCCACTTGTGGCGAGCAAAGTCGACCACTTCCTCCTTCACCTTCTGAGGGTCAAATCTCTTCTGGGTGTAGATGCTCTGAGCACAGAGATGTTCATTACATTTACATGTGAAAATAAAAAAATATATAAAATAAATGTATTTATCATACTGCTACAGATAATGTCCAAGCTGAACATCTTAGCTTGGATATGAAATTTCAGCGTTTCAACAATTTAAGCTGCGGTTGGCCCTAAAAGACAAACAGAATCACGTTCATCTACAAGCCGGGCTAAAAAGACCTCTCCTTCTTACTGGTGATAATCACCTTTTTATGAGCAGCCATGATGAAGTGAGCCCACTTCTCCACCGATCTGGAGGTGGTGATCTCTCTGTCCGGGATGTAAGACGGGATGAGGCTCAGCAGGCGCTCCAGGAGGATCTCTGAACCGTAGTCAATGTAATACTGCTGAGAGGCCAGCTCTGCGAGGTCATCCTGGAGACACAGAGACAGAATAAATAAAAAAAAGTTTGTCCTGCCTCCTGTTCAGCCAGCCTGACAGTAATCAGTGCTCCTAACACGTGAGCGTTACCGACTTATTAATAATGCAGAATATTTGCAGTTCCTCTAAGGCCCACAGAAGGCTGACTACAAAATGTTATAATGTCCACTGTTGGAGCAGAAATGTTTCCCATGCACTTGCTAAACACTATTCTTTGAAAATAAAGGACGTGTAGTCACCCTGTCACAGCGGTATTCTCCAAACTTGACGCCCCTGACGGTTTGCTGGTAGATCAGGTTGGTGGCGACCTGGTCTTCTGTTGGCTCGTGCCACGGCGTAAAGATTTCTTTCCTGAAGAACAGCCGCCAGGGGGCGTTCCTCTCCTGAGCTCCCTGCTCTTTGGCGTACTGCTCGCACTGCGACACGGCATCCATCACATGGTCGCTCCCGCTGCCTAAAGAGGAGACCTGCAGGACGAGATCAGAGGTGCAAACTGGTGACTGTTTTTTCTCCAACAAACAGAGAGGTTCACATCTCTGCAGTGGCCACAAGATCTGAGAAAGATCCAGATGATCCAAACTGTTCCAGAGCGTGAGGCCTAACAGGTGCTAGAAAGGAGTATCATGCCTTGGAGCTCATATGATGCCGTGTGCGTGCCCACCTTGTCAAACAACGCGATGTACAGCGAGAAGCCAAAGCGGTCTCGCAGGTTGATCTTGTCGGACAGGGCGCTGCAGAGCTCCTTTGCTGTGGTGGCCGAGTCTGTCAGCAGCGTTTTGGTCGTGCCATCCATGAACGTCACCGGCAACATGATGGGCTTCTTTGATTTGGTGGCCTGGACGTTGATTTCACAAAAAGAAACAGTTCCAGTAAACGGTGGGTGAAGTCACAATGGCCACGTCTGTCTTTTATATACAGTCTATGGTTTATACCTGCAGCTCCAGCCAGGACGGAGGCTGCGTTCGCGTCCCATTCACAAAAGTTCGTCTTAGACGTTCTTCACAGTATGGAGCGTAGCCTGGAGGCCCGCAGCTGATGAAGTTCCTCAGATACTGCAATCAAAACAAACACAGATGTAACGTCATGGCTAATGTGTAAATGCCAACACAAACGTTGGACGTACTGACCTTCACAAATTTGTCTGATGGAGCGAAGCAGCCGACACACAAAGAGATGAGGATCCAGCCGCGAGCGTGAGAACTCTTAGACGGGTTCTGACTCAGCTGCTTACAGATCTGACAGTAGATCTCATCCCTAACACACACACACACACACACACACACACCTACACCTCAGAAATATCAAAGACATTAACAGAGACCCAGCAGAACTTTATGAGACACATTTTATGCAGATTAACTGAAACTGGATGTCGAGACTTTGTCCTGATGGTGAACGCTGCTTCATATTCACAGCCAGACACACACGTGTTCACCAGCCTCTGCACTATTATTTACTCTTTAAAAGAAATCATGCCGTTTCATTAAATTACCATTTAAAATGTATTTTTATCTGCATGGCTTTATTAACTCATTCAACGGCATCTTCATGTATAAATTCAATTCACATCAGGTTCATTTGTGAAGCACCAAATCACAACCACGTCACTTTATACATTGAGATGAATATTAATGCACAACAATGATAATAAACATACGGCAAATATGACAAAATGATGACTAAAAGAAAAATCAACGGGATGACAGCTTAGATGTCCAAAGAGATTCATCTTGAATTTAAGAGCAGCTTTGAGTCCGTAGACCGTCGTATTGTGTTAATCTCCCATATGTGACGTAAACGTTTTTATGAGGCAACAGCTCGATAAAGGAAAATTTGAAAGTATCTGCTTTTTAAAAAACAAACAAACTTCAAATTAAAGTTTCACTGAAAACTGGAAAATTTTAAACTTTCACTTTTAAATTTCAAAGTGGGCCACAGCGCTGTGACATCTGGGAAGGTCTATTTTATCAAATACACAAAGGGCGGCTTAGATACAAGTTTTTTCCTCCACATGTCCAGTTTTTATATCCAAGGTAATTTTGTGTAAGTTTGGGAAACTACATGATGACCCTTTGTTTGTTTGTTTACCTGAGTCCTGGCCTCAGGATCCCGTTGCCGATGATAAAGTGAAGTTTCTCCAGGTTGGATGTGGGACGATCTTCCAGCATGCTGTTGCCATGAAGACCGTACTCACCATCGTTAAGGCGCTTGGTGACCTGAAAAGCATCAGATTACATGATTATCTTAATTTGTCTGTCTGTTAGCAGAATTATTCACAAATATATGGATTTGACCCAAAATGGACTTGAAATTGATAAAATATCTTCATCTGCGCTTGAGATAAAATCTGACTTCATGTTTTTAACATGAAGTTCAAACCCAGATTTCCTTCTGCACCAGAAGCACAATTTTCAGTCTCAGACTGCTCATGTTTAATTAACAGAAACAAGACCAGCATCATATCACCCTCCCTCTCTCTTACCTCCTCGGTGATCTTGGATTTCTTCTTCAGGGTGAGGGACACAAGTTTGTGTCGGACGCTGTTCTTCTTGTGGCTGTCAGAGTGAGGCGTCTGGAGGTGAGAGAAGGAAATCAGCTCACAGAGATCCCTTACACAGTCACTGTGACCTGCAACCTGTTATTCCTGATCTTTGGAAACTATATGAAGTAACAAATGTTAAAAACAGATAAGTTACATGAACACACTGAATAATAGCTCATACTTTATAGTCAGTATCACAGAACCACCAGTTAATCTAAGCTAGATTTTGAAACTTCTTTAAAGGAAATGTCACTTTTAGCTCATGTTAGCGTTTACTCGCTCAAACCTTTAAACTCCGTCACTCTTCCTCCTCACCTCTCCCTCCCCTTGCAGCGCCTGCAGCTCTCGCTTGTACGTCTTTTTCCCCAGCGTCTCGTAGATTTTGGTCATGACTGGGATCTTCTCGCTGCCGTCGCTGATGGCCGTGTGGTACTTTGGCTCCGGGAGATCGCCCATGAACCTCAGCACCGTGATCCACACCGCCAGAGCAGCCTGAGCAGACACGCAGGGCACAAGGAAACAAAAGGTTCATCAGGTGAAATAATTGTTCCTTTGTTGGTTCGTTCTTGGCTGGTGACAGGTCTTAGTAGTCGCACCAGTCATCAGCATCATGGAGCACAAACTGTAACAGCTGCACACAGTCAGAACCTTTCTGCACTCATTACGTCTAAATTAAGTTAAGGCTTAAACCTGAGAGACGAGCAAAGCTCGCTGTAGAGCGACAGCCTCGTGTGGCCTTTTTCAAAACTTCTTCAGTCGCTTGCAAAATACATTTTTACTTTTGCGGGGTCAGAGGTCAGACCTACCAGCTGGTCCCCCTCATCGTCGTGGAAGAGCAGCGGCTGTTTGAGAGGTCGTCGGGCGTAGGTGTGCGTGGTGGTGCCCTGGAAGTAGGTGGCAGCAAACTTGGCGAACTTGTACTCTGATAAATCCTCTTCATCATCGTCCTCAGGCAGAGGAAGAGCCTCATCCAGATCCTCCTCCTCCAGCTCGTGATGGGTCCGCTCCAGATCCTGTAAAGAAGACAGTAAATTCTTGTCTGCTGAAGTTTCCAGAAGTTTTTCAAATTCTCCAAATTTTCCAACTTCAAAAATCCCTCAAATCTATCACTGCGTCTCAGAAACATGCTCTCCTGCAGCACTGTTATTGGAAACAGGTCATTCTTTTTAGAGAAAAAATTTACCTCACACATTCTTATTTATCTAAAGCTGCGATTTCCCTGGACTTGGTTATCTCTAATAATTTGAAATAACTGCCAACATGATATCTGATTTTAATGCCCTGTAAATCTGCCATGCTGCGTATTTGAGTAAGCAGTCTTCATGTGTCCTGTGAACATGCCACACACACAGACGATGGCATTATTAACGATCGAGGCTTAAGGAGTCATTTTCCGTCCTCCTGATCAGACACCTTTGCCAACAGGACACAGTTTTACTGATTACACACGTTGGGTAACTATCTTTGGCCTTTATGAGAAAACGGTTCATTAATAAGAGGAAAACTTTGGTCGTGTCACCTCAAAGCCAGCTGGGGCTTGCCCTTCCTGACCCGGGAAAGAACTGGTGGTCCCCAGGAAGCCGAACATCTTGTCCACCATGTCGGAGTCATTGACAGGCTCCGTGCGGGCCTTCTCCATCTGCTCGACCATCTCCTTCTTCCTCCGAGCCTCCTCCTTCTCCTTCTTCTCCCGCTCAGCGTCCTCTTTGGCCAGCTGAGCCAGACGCTCCTGAAGAAAGAAACATTGCACTAGATCTCAAAAATACAGAACAATCCAGTATGTTTCTCAGCACAAGTGTGATGATGAATTATTATTATCCACTTCCCTGCTCTGCTTCACTGATGTTTTAAATGTTGTCACATGTTACATTTGTTCACCTGGTGTTTGCGTTCAGCCTCAGCTTTCGCTCTCTTTGCAGACATCTGGTTCCTCAGTTTGGCTTCTTCAGCCAGACGCATCTTCTCGGCCTCCAGCCTCCTCCGGTACTGAGAGGAGAAATGAAGGAGTCCACCATTAACGACTAAATCAAAACTGCAGCAGCCAGCTGCCAAAACATCCTCGGCACAGCAGCAGAGGGCAGTGCAACTTCTGAATGACTCTTTTTTTACACAACAGTGAACAATGTAATGACACTTTGAGGCCGAGCATTAATTTAACAAAGAAATCAAGAGAAGCACAGAAATCACAATGTATGAAAAGATATCAAATCTATCAAGCTCTAGATTTTGTAAACTGATGACATGAACGTGATCTCATCATCTCTAAAACTGAAAACTTGTGTGTAAAATGAGTTTTATGTATATGTGCAATGTTCTGTGTGTGTGTGTGTGTGTGTGTACCTCTGCCTTCAGCCTCTTGTACAGTCGTCGAGCGATCATTCCTCTCGTGTAAGCCTGGATGGTGATGACGGCCCACAGCCGGTGCCTGAATGCTCGACGCACCAAGAAGCCGCGACAGCGACCCTGGAAGGCTGTGATTCGCTGACGGGCCACGTGATACGATGCGCACAACTTCCTGGAACGAACCAGAGCTTGGAGGCGAGAAAAGCCAGCTCGCATCTGAAAGTAAAGAGGAGGAAAGTTCAGCGAGTCTTTGCTTTGATTTTATTTTGTTTCCACTTTGTTCAAACTGCTGCTCGATGCTCACAGCTCCATAGTTCTTCCTGCACTGATATCCTCTCCACGTCTTCTGGATCAGCACTGCCGACTTCTTCAACTTTAGGAAGTTGGATCTGAAATTGAAAATAATCAGAAACGATTATTTATATGACCTCTTGTTTTACTGTTCATACAAAGAGAAAAAACCTCTGAGAAATAGTTATAAAGAGTCACAGAGAGACTTGTTCGTCTTATTTTCTGCTTTCAAAGAAAACAGAACAGTAAGCGATGCAGCTAGCGATGACAGTCATACTCAGGAGATATGTGCAAGTGTCAGTTTTAAGCAGGTGCAGAACAACACCGCAAGCTACGGTCCGAGAGCGTGATGTTTGAATTCTACTCCGGGATAAGAATCACTGGCAGCTGCATAAAATAAAATAAAATCTCAGTCTGTGAGAAACGCTGACGACCCACCTGTCCTTGAAACCCCGAACCACCTTCTGGATGAGGACGACCTTGTCTGTGATGGCCTTGTCTCTCTCGATCTCCAGCAGCATGTCGTGATGATCCTGGACAGAATAATAAACACACTCCGTACGCTTCTGTTTCTCTGCTCTGACTCAGTTTGAGAACGTTTTAGTGATGATTTGAGACATTTTACTCAAAACCACAAAAGTCACCTACTGGTCCTGGAGGAAAAGCCAGGAGGAAGTCAGTAACTTAAATGAAACAGAGCAGCTGTCACTTCCAGCTAACGTGGCAAAATATAAATATCTGCTTTCTAAAAATATAAAATGTAAGACACAGGCAGGATACACAAGCTTTAACCTGACAGTTTTCAACTAACATGACACACAACTAAATGTAAACACCTAAAGCTCCTTCCCGTCATCTGTCCACCCGCATGCAGGCTGATCTGACCACGTCCTGTTGGGGAAGTGTGGGCACTGCTCTGCTTTCACCCACTGAACTTTCTCCTTCCTGCTGTACTTCCTGTCTGGCCGAGCATCGAGGCCTGAGGGAGATGAGCCTCGACTCCACCACAGTCAACACATCTCAGTGCTCCACCCCCCCAACTTATCAATCTAAAACACTTTAAAGGTGAAAGTGTCACATTATATCCACTATGATTTAAGGGCTGAAGGTCCACCCCCTTCACCGAAATTACATTTTATTCCCAGGAGCGATCTTTGATGAGCGCTTTGAATGCAGGAAGTAAAGAAAATAAAAGGCAGAAACATAAAAATGAAGATAACGGCTGTGCTGCAGAGCGACGATAAACAACAACAACAAAAACGCTTTGACAGGCTGTGCTCGCCACGTCAAACTACACTGTGGAGCCAGATGATATGTTCTTTTAACCTCTGTGTGGGGACGGCCAGCTAACAGACGTGACCTCTGACCTGATCTGCAATACATGTTTGTATAAAGTAGGCAGATAGACAGCTGGAAACTAAAACACGCAGTGTTTCCCATCAGCAGACGTGTGGACTGGAAACAACCAGAGCAGATTCACGGCTGGGATGAACCACAGCTGAGCGAGTCAGAGACGAGAATGTAAAGAAGTTCTGGATAATGTGGAAACATTTCAGTGGAAAGATAAGAGAACAGTAGTTCACGCGATGTGCTGTGCCAGCCGCTTAGCCCGGGCATCAGTGTTTTTTGGAAATACAGCGAGCCCTGTGAAAAGTTTCACACTGGTGCTGTTAGCAGCTGTGTGAAGTGGCACCTACAAATCTGAGACTTTGAACAACACCCTGCAGGCTTTTCTGCCCTGTGTGGACACACGCCTGCATGCAGGAGTACCTTGAGGAAGATCTTGGTTTTTCCCATCTGCCAGTCGTCGTCTCTGCCGAGCACGGCCTCAGCGATCCTCTCACAGGTTCCTCTCAGGTCCTCCTGATGGAAACAGAGACGGTATCAACCAATATATTTTATTCCTGGACTCTACCAGAGTAGCTTTGCATGATTCACAGTTTCCAAAATAATCCTCATTTATCTCATTCTGAGCCTCAGTGTGAAACAAGCTCTTTAAACCCTTCAAACAAACTTTCTCCAGACAGGCTGGTCCTCAGAAAAAGACGAGGGCGGGGCTTCTGTGCTCACAGAGCTGTGTGTCCAAGATGATCATATAATGCATATCCTCTCTCGCTGACATCACATGGAGCAAAGAATAGAAAAAAACTGTCTGAAACTGAGTGTTCAAAGAATTCTATAGCCTGTTTCTAAATCACAGGGATTACATTTGCAGGTAATCCCTGTGATCCCAAATGTGTCCAAAGCTTGAGAAATAAAATTTCTTTTTCTAACAAAACCCAAAATTACTTTCACTGAATTTGCCAAGTTTGAGCAAAATAATCATCAACTTAATCACAACGAACGCAGGTCAAACCACTGCGTTAACTGCAATAACAAGTCAGGTATTAAAAATACAAATGTTTTCAAAGTGACACACACACACACACACACAAAATATGACCTGTGAAGCGTCACAGGGCGGGGTGGAGGAAACAGAACACGCATGTTCCAAGAAAAACAGGCAGCTGGTGGGAGTGTGGGAAAAACTGCACAGTGAAAACATGTGTGGCACCAGAAAATACCCTCATGACAAACTCTCGCACACACAAACCCACAACAGAGAGAGACACTCGCTCACTTCCCATAACAACGCCGCTGGGCCCGTGTCACACAGAGGCTACACAGCAGGCCACCTTCCCTAAGAAGAAGCTACAGCTGCTACAAAATTATTTATCCAAGCTCGGATAAGTCCAACACTTTATTCCAATTCAACAAATTGTTATTATTATTTTTTAACTGAAGTAAATGCTGAGGTGATCCGCAGCTTTCTCAGACCACAGTTTTACACAGATGAATACTGTGATAAGATTATTCTCTGCACAAAGATTTTCACTGAATCTCAAAAATGCTTTTGGTCCAATTGGAGAGATTTTAACAGTTAGACAACAACTGTTTATTTAAACCACAAAAAGTTCAGAGTTGAGTTAAAAGGGGCTGAATGCAGCCACGTGATCCCCGGTTAGATAAATGCTTCTAGCATAAAACTGTTGATCTCCTCCTACAGCCTTTTTGTGTTTTTTGAAACTGCCTGATTGGTGTGGCCACAAAAATGGAAAGATGCGCATTATTCTTTTTAACTTTTACTTTCTTTCTTTTTTTAAACTTCCTTTAACTTTCAGGCAGTTACTCCATCGTCAGGTTTTTATTGTGACAACTGCAATTTTCAGATAGTGAGTATTTAAATCGTTTTAGTGTTTCTGCGCCTACAAACCAGATTAGGTTCATGTTTAAACTGAAGCATAGAAAGAATAAAAGACTTTAAAAACTGATTTAAAAACTGCCCGACTATGATGACGTGATTCTATTTTTTAGCTGATTAAAGTATTGAGTTACTAGTTCTTTATTATTTTGAGTTTAAGTGATTTTATTTATTTCAGTGAATATGTAACCGACTCGACTGTAAATTAGTTAAGTCATTAAGTCACATCATTAAGACAAAGAAAATTCGTTTTGAAAGAAGCGACAGGTGAGGACCGCCTAAAAACAGCTCTGGTATAAAATCGAATGCACTCATGATTCCAATCTTCTTTTGAACTTCCATGACACCATCTGTAAAAACCATCCTGATCACGAGACGTTCCTGATCCGTCCCGTGTCCAACAACAACAACATGAGCTGCGCTGTGTGAAAAGAGGACAGTTTCCAGGCATCAAATGCAAGAATCACACAGTGAAACTTTTCTTTTTCTTGAAACTGGACGTCAACAGTGATGAGAAACTTTGCTTCATTTATATTTGATGAATATTTTTTGATCTTTACTTTTTTGCCACGTTTTCCAATAAAAAAAAAAATGAGAAGCTGGAGTACCTGGAGTTGGGAATACATAAATTATTCTGGGTGTGTTGATTTAAAACACCCAATAATACGGTGCGTCTACCAGACCCATCAACACACCTGTAGTCACTCTACCTGTTTGTACGCCGGTTTGACTCCAGGCATGAGCACCCGGTAGCGGTCGACGAACTCCACGAAGGTGTAGCGGATGGGATATCCAGCACGGCGGATTCGGATGGTCTCCATCATACCCGAGTACCTCAGCTGACGCACACACAGCTCCCTGTCAAACAGCTGCAGACAAACATGAACAGTTTTTTGACAAAGTCCTAGCTTTGGCTGAAGAAGCTGAGAAAGGTTAAAGGTCATAGCTGCAAAGATTTGGTACTTTGAGGCAGTTGAGAGAAGACATGACGGGCGAACTGGGATATTTTATTTAATCTATCAACATGAAACTCCTTTAGATCACTACGTACTTTTATTTTTCTACAGTTAAGTAACCCATTAATCATTTCCCCATTTTTACTCCTCATTGTGCAGCTTAACAGCCACTCCACTTTCTCTCAAACAGTCCTGTTTGTCAGATGAGGTTGTGGCTTTTTCTTCATCACTCATTTTCAGCTTCTTAATTACAGTTTGAACTCTGCTGACCGGCATTCTCATTTCCCTGATTATATTTTCATATCCGTTTCCTGTTTTATAAAGTTCAACTATGTTCTCCAGCAGATCCTTTGAGAAGTCCAACATCAGTGCAGCACTGGAAACGTGCAGGAGCCCAGAAACTCACCGACCTCATTACAAGCAAACAGATCACAGGTGAGAACGATCATCTTTAGTAGTCATTTAAACCTGTGTGTGTCAGCATATGTGGATGGTATCATGCCAACACTTAAAAATAATAAATGATTTTACTGAAACCACCAACCATGAATGAAAAACATTTTTGTAGCATCATTCATATTTTCTGAAAAAATTCTGCCAGGATACATAAACATATGAACTGAACTCAGGATACAGGTCAGGTCCAAACGTTTGTGCTGCACTGTAACATAAACTCCCCTCAAACTTTCAGCTACAGCACAGCCTGAATTTAAAGACATAATCTTTATTTGTCACAGCGGCTGTGGTAACGGTCAGACATGGAGAGAGTGGAGAGCCATGGGAAAATACGGAGGGAAATTAAGTTATGGGAATGAGATTTACAGAGAGAAAAACAAGCAGAAGCAGATTTGATCCATTTCTATCGATTAAGTTTTTAATCTAATTGATTAAAAACTTTTTCATGCAATTTTGCTCGTGAGGATGACTCCAATATGTTTTAATGACAGGAAGGAAAACAAAGAAAACCTTGCACACTATGAAAGGTACAAAGCATAAAAACAGGTTTGTAGTTTATCAGGTATCTGCAGGGTTGGACCGAAAATTTTTTTAAAAAAGTTTTCTAATGCAAAACGAAGTAAAAATACTATTTACTATTTCACTATATCATGTTAACCTCTACAACTTCTTCATAACTAAAGTGTGCCTCCTCTGCAGCAGAGTTTCTAATGTCCATTAACTTCTGAATCAACCTTTTTTACCTTTTACCTTCGTAATTCATCTCAACACTGAACTAAGCAAAGCCATGTTTTGCCTCCCTGTGACTGCAGTCTTCCAGTAACTGCATGTTTTAACCTCGACTTCTATCTGCGGACAGCGTGTCAGACTCACCATCGGCTTCTTGTATTCATTGGGTTTGATGCAGCGGACGAAGAACGGCTGACAGACGCTCAGAGTTCTCATCAGCAGCTCCAGAGATCTTTTAAACTGGCTGCTCAGGGTGGGCGAACGCTTCCTGGTTTCTGCTCCCTACACACACACACACACACACACAGCAACAACCCTGTTAGAAACAATGAGGACTCCTCCTGCTCTTCCTGAGCTCGGACACCAACCTCTTTCCTCTCTGAACAGCAAAGTTTGACGCTTCAGCTTCACTCAGTCAAACCTGCTGACTGAGCAGCGACTGCTTCACAAGGAAGGAGCTGCAATCAATTAACTGAAGCATCAATCAGCTCAGCCAGAGAAAACTGTTTTAGGCCTGTTTTTAAAATTATTATAAAACTTAATTAATCACATCATTTAAATTAAAGTAAAATGGCATCACACAACAATTTGATTTTAAAAACAACAATAACATTCTGGTTATTTGTATATTTAAAGAAATTTCTTGAGTTTTGAGACCTAATTTTTAAAAAAAAATTGCGATATTTTCCTCCAGACTATGAATAAGCTGATGAAAATAAAATAAAGATTTTAAAATAATTTTAATATTATTCAGCAACATTATATTATTTAAAATTAAAAGTCTAAAAAATAATCACGTTACTGTCCATTAATAGTTACAGCTTATTGCAGCCATAGTTTGACTATTTCAACACACACGACAACTTGTAAGGCTACCGGAGAATCAATAATAATAATAATAATAATAAATGATGATGATGATGATGATAAAGAGCGAAATTTGAGAAACAAAAGTTCTTACCAGAGTTTCGTGAGCACAGAGCAAACTGAGCTTTGTATAAAGAGAAAAACTTTCTAATATTTCTCCATCCTGCGTGTTTGTACTTGAGCCTCACTGAGGTGGAAGTGAGTGTTTCCGTCGGTGTTTGAGCCGTTTACAGATCACCTGCTGCTTCCCTGCGCAGGCTAAACTCAGCGACCTGATCTAAATCTGACCCCGTTCACTCACTTCTACCTTCAAGTTACATCAGCGCGCAGCTTCACAGCACGAGCTTCTGCACCGATCAACACCGTCACATAAACCTCGTCACCGCCTGTGGAGGTGTTCGTGTGATAGAAACGTTACTGCCCTCCGGCGGTAACAGGCATCTATTACAACACTGCAATTAATACATTCAAGTGATAAAATATAAATAAAAGTTATAATTATATTAAAAGCAAATTAATGCACATGTCTGGATTCACCACTGGTTTGATTATTAAAAACAACTCGAATACTAATATAATCCATGTTTATTAACAGCTTTAGGTGGAGCAGAAACCTTGCTGCCCTTAAAACTTTAAAAAGTAATCATTAGTAAAAATTACATTTATAATATGTCAAGTAGTTTGCTAAAGCAGCATCTGATGTCACAAAATAATGTAGTTTGTCAGTGTAAACAAACAACAGATAAAAAATAAATAAAATAAAGGCTCAGTGGGGTTTGTTTGCCGTACTTCTGCCCGCAGTCGGTTTGTGAAAAGAAGTTACGGCTATATGTTATTGTTAACTGCATTAAATTTTTGGTAATATTTACTAATGCTAGGTTTACCTCGCTGACTCAGTACTAACTTTGAATTTGTTTAGCATCACGGCTTTGTTTTTTTCTTTCTACATAAGACTAAAACACTTTTAAGGCAGAAAATAAAAATGATCGGTGAGCTACGGTATAATCTTGTGACATTACTCACAGATGAAAGCACACACAGTAGGAAAATAACCACCATAGCTGACATGGAGTTGTATTCATCAGCCTTTTGGTTGAATCTCATTCAGCTATGACAAACGTATGTGAGCTATGGGATGTTCAGACCATGTTTGAAGTCAGAGAGGAATCAATGAAATGGAAGAAGATGGTAAAATGAAGAGGATGAAAATGCAGCGCTGGGATGTTTGATTTCTCATTTTTACCTTGGAGGGAGCTGTGGCTGAACTAACAGGAGCGTAACCACACAGAAACTGGCAGAAGCAGCACACAGACATGCAAATGCAAACAAAGAGACACACAGGGAGGGAAGACAAAGAAGTCATACATGTTATTTTGGGCTGGACTTCAAAGAGAAACATGCAAGTAAACAACAGCATGCAGGAGAAGAACAACTCAGAAAAACTTTCTGCAGTTCTCAAATTAACGTGTCACTCAGTCAGGAGGTTCCTAGATGGGGTACCGCTGCATTCAGGGACCCAGAGAGCACACTCGCTGTTATCAGGTTTGTGGTTTTCCCACAGCATCTAAATACTGTCTACATCTGATCTGAAAAGTAAATGTAAATTTAGTAACACAAATCCTAAAGTGGACGTCTTCGGTTTATTTCCATCCTTGGGTTCTCATAGCTCAAACAAATCCTTATTTTTGATATAGTGGGTCTTGATTATGGCTGCCTTCTTCTCATTGGTTGACCCTTACAAAAAGCAGGTGGGTGGGGCCCATGTGCCTAGTATAAGACACCAGGGCCTGTTTATTTGAAACTCTAGTCATGTTTTATGCTTTTCACCAGAGTAACAGTATGACAGAAATAAGCAGGATCTGCTTTGAACAAGTTAGTAAGTTATTAATTCTGCAAATTGTTACACTAACAAACACAGAGAAACACAACCTGCTGTAATGCTTCCTCACTCAGCATCCACCAATCAAGTGTTTAGTTTAAGTTCCAGTTCAGGGCCTGGTTGGTGATAGTTCTGGTGTGGTCACACAGGCCTGACAATGGTCTTCTAGTTAATTTCCTTAATACATGTTTGTGTGTGTGTGTGTGTGTGTGTGTGTGTGTGTGTGTGTGTGTGTGTGTGTGTGTGTGTGTGTGTGTGTTACCATAGCTACGTCAGCCTGGAAGATTTGTTTGATGAACTTGTTTTTGGAGGAGTGAACCAGCTGAATGATGTCGCCATACAAAGTGTCCCTGTTCTTCTCCAGGAAACCTGCAGGACACACAAGTCAACATCTTGGAAACATCAAAGGTTTAAACATTGCTAATTTGACTTTACGACATTTATTTGTCAGTGGTGATTACGATGTATTTGTAGAAGGTTAAAGGAGTTTAAAAAAAATTATAATAATTGTACAAGATCTGACATAAAAACATTCATGAAAAAGACATAAAAGATTAAATTTATGATTTCCTGAGAACTGACATGTGGATCTATAGAAATGTGTAATTTGGGCCCAAATCCAGTGAAGAAACTTCCAGTTATAAGTTTCAGTAATAGGTTTGAAGAAATGTTTTCAGCTCTGACTTAGTAAAACATTTTTAAGTGGAAGTGGTGCTTCCATGCTGTTATTTCTATTTCAGCATGTTTTAAATACACACTCCGGCTAATGGGATAAAGATCAAGACACGCGGCTACAGGCAGCAAACATACAAAGCCCACCACTGCACACGATTTCGAGCAAACATCCATCCCGCATCAGTTTCAGGTTTAAACCAGTGACTCGTGTGACTCTGCATGAAATTGACCTTTGAATATGAACCACTAAAGTCATAAACAGAAGGTTTAAAGTGCAGGTTGGTGGAGCTTTGATGCCCACAGCCAGAGCTGCGCGCTCTCACTTTGACATAGACTATAAAAACATGGTCAGGTGCGATACTTGTACATACACTGAGCTCATTAGGTGAAACTTTGGTCAAAGAATTTAAATGCAGGATTTTAGGCTGTATGTCGTTTTGGTAGTTTTATTTAGCCAGAGATCAGAAAACCATCCTGACTGGCTTCATAAAATCTCTTTTACTGTACATTCAAACAACGGGAAACTTGTAGTAACTGCATCTTTTAGTGATGTGGTGTGTGTGAAGTGACTCTGACCTCTTGTTTCATAGTAAACCACTCCAGCAAAGTGTTGGATGCCAAACTGAGTCTCATAGTTGTTCTTTGGAGGGATGTAGTTTGTGTTGAGTTTATGCTGAAAGTTCAGCTTGTTGAGCATGGTGGTGTCTGTGCCCTGCAGGAGACAGGCAGGAAAATGTGAGAGTTTAGTTTAAAAAACAAGGCTTTGAGTCTTTAGGCCACATGGCGGCAGCAGAAACAAGCTGTGAACAAGCTGCTGACACCTTATTGACTAAAATCTTCCACACACTGTTTGTTGGAGTTGTAGTGAAAACAGTGTCCAGCATGCTGTGATTCAGTGCTGCTTAGGCTGCTATGCCTCAGGACGCTTTACATTTAAAAACAAGTTTAAAACCTGGTAAAAAACAAAAGGTTTTTAGTTTCTATGGATAGTTTCCCCGTTTATATGAGCTGTAAAGTGGATGATTCTTGTTAAAAAAACATACAGATCTATTGTTATTTTAACTGCCAAGTGTGCAGTTTGCTGTGTTTAATGGAAATATCTGACAGATAACCATTCAACAGACTCAATTTTCATTATTCTGTTACATCAAGAAGGCAAAATACAGTGTTGCTCCATCTGTGAATGTAAAGCCAATGTTTTGTGCGCCATTTTTTCACTGATCTCCTCCAAGTCTTAGCCAAGTTAAACAAATGTGTCCTAATATGTGGTGGTAAAGTTCCCCAGCATCCATGTCGTCATCATTTTCATACAATATAAATAACTCATTTGGGCCAACATTAAAATCTATTCCTCTATTAATCTATATTAATTTTACTGACAGTAGTTGTAGGCTCCATGTCACCACTATGTTACAGATCCAGGAAGTCAAACAGGAAACGGGAGATTTCCAAATCTTTTGATATTAGGTGGATTTTGAAATTTGACAAGTTGATGGAAATTAGGTCTATTGGAAGGTCGGTCTGGTTGACAACAATTAGGACATCATGAACTTTTGTGTTTGTGTTTTATGTGTGGGAACTCTTCTATAGAAAATGTCACCTGTGTGAGTGAACTGAGAACCGCATACATGGTTGGTTCCTGTGGGAGGAGCTTAAGGTGTCCAGTCCGCTTCATGCCACACTTGATTGCCAGGTTTCCTTACATTCTTCAAAACGCAGACTCCATGAACCAATAGAAGCTGTCACAGTAGCCATGTTTCTGCTCAGTTTGTAAGGAGCACAGTGTTTCTGCTTCTCTTGTCCCGAGAGCTGTACAACAGTTGTGTAGCAACTCTTTTTTTAAATGCTTCTGGTGTCCTTCAGCTCCTGCAGAGAATTTCTGGTTCTTTGGTTGCTAAATGCTCCACTGCTGGTGCACGTATACCGTCATCATTACAGAGCTGAACTTTGGGGAATCAAAGACCAGGTGAGACAAATATGGGAGCGCATACCTTCGGAAATTTGCTCTCCTCGTCGATGAGTGAGATGATGTTCATGGGTTTGATGGCGATCATGTCCAGAGCGTCCTGGTTGTCTGTGAACTCAATGTGCTGCCAGTTGATGTTCTCCAGGTTGTACTCCTCCTGCTCTAGCTTGAACACATGACGCACGAAGAACTGCTGCAGGTTCTCGTTGGCAAAGTTTATGCACAGCTGCTCGAAGCTGCAGGAACGAGGACGAGAAGTGACGGAAAAGCTGACAATGCTGACAGAATAGTTCAGTTAAACTCAATATGTAGTGATGCCAGTGGGTTTCACAAAATAAATACATAAACAATGCCACAGGCATAAGAACAAACTTTTTAAATTAGGTATTTAATAAAAACCACACAGGGTATAAAATATGTGCCAGTTTCAACAGAAAGTACTTGTTAGCATCTCTCATTAGCTATAACACAATACATGTGTTGTGTTATTTTTCATGCATTCATGGTGATCATTTAGAGGCAGGTCACATGGGTGTGGGCGGTGATATTTAAAGCTATTAGTGAGCACCTCACCTGAAGACCAGGAGGGCAAAGGGTACATATGAATGCCTCTGTGGACGTTACACTTCACTCACAAGGGATTTGTAGCTGGCTTTGGAAACCCCTCAGAACAAAGATTTAGTGGGTAGGGTGGACAGCATCACTATGTGAGAGTTAGTGTGTAATGTACCTGTTTACTGTGAAGTTTTCAAAGCCAAAGATGTCCAGGAGTCCGATGGAGCGTCTGAGCGCTTTGGGCTGAGATGACGGAGGCTTATAAATGGCTGCATTGATCTTTTCCACGATCCACACAAACAAGCGACCGTAAATACCCTGCGCGCACACACAGACAAAGTCACAGTCCAACACATTAAAGGTCCCCAATGAGGGATTTGATCTCTAGTAGAGATATTATGTGCGTGTTGATCACTGTCTCAGTCTCATTCCACTTCTTGGTGGAAATGCAAAAATGTGTTGGAAGAGGCAGTGAAGAAAACCATTATTCTGCAAACCTGCAGGTCGAAATGAAACATGGCAGGATGTAAGATACTTAAAGTGTTTGAATGGCTCTGAAAATGTGTTAAAGGAAAGGAAATACAATGAAAAGGTTCACACCAGAGTCTGTGTTGGACAATCTCAACTTATTCTCTTTTATCATCTCTGCTACGTGGGGCTTTTAACCCCTTTAGTTCATTAACTTAAATGAATAAAGTGTGATAATTATGAGCTGTACCTTAACAAAAGCGTCCCGTACATCCAGAGCTTGTTCCATGCTGAGAGGGGTGGAGACCGTCTCTCCTCTGGTGATGAGTGTTCGGCTGGTCAGACAGTTCATCAGATCCTTAACGTCCACCTTAACACACAGAGACACATAAACACAGGAGCTCCTCAATGAATCTCCAAAACATCCAATCAAATTTACGGTTTTGAAGTACTGTGAAATAATAGCGTAAAACTGCTTTTATTAACACCTGAATGGAGGTTTGATTTGAGTGTCACTGAACAGTGACACTGCTAGATTAGACTAAAAGAAAGAAGGGTGGGTGGATAATGTGTCTGAGCACAATGGGATCTTTAAATTAGGGTGAAACTGCTGGCCAGTTCTACTATTATTTATTTTCTATCATATATATACTGTCACAGTGGTGGATGATCATATTAAACTTCACCAGAGTTTTTAAATAATGAAGGCAGTGGACGTAGGTACAAAACTATGGGTGTGAATATAGAAGTCCCGCCCACTTGTTGCCCATCCATCTGTGTATGAGGGGCATCTAATCAAAAGAAGGAGGGGCAAGAAAAGCAAAACAGGATGAAAGAGGATGAAAAGGTGTGTGTGTGTGTGTGTCACCTCTAATAGTGTGGCAGAAGTAGTGAGATGAGGGCTCCGCACCACCTCACAGGCATCAAGGTTGTCATAGGTGCGTGCTGAAAGGTCAAAGATCAACAGAGTGTCTAAAGAAGTTTTCTTTATAAATAAAATTAAAATCACAGATATTTTTTACGAGGTGTTAATTATGTCTGTACTTGTGTGGACTGCAAGGACTGGACACTAAGAACAATACTCACAAGGAAACATGGCTACAGGAAGCTAAACACAGCGGACGAGTAAACAGTAAATTCCTTTTCTGGTAATATTTTTCACGTTACCCTCGTATCTCAGGTTTCCCATGTGCAGTATAGCAGCCAGCAGCTTAGAAATCTCCCAGTTCTCCTTGTCAGTGAACATCAGCACCTGAGCAAACAGACCCAAGCAACAATCATTACCTTTCAGTGTCTTTCAAATATAAGATGATAAAAACAGTATGTTGGTGATATTTAAATAGTTGAATACACAATATTAACTTTAGGTAAAGCAGCACACACGTTAGTACCTTCATTGCAGAGCGGATGTTGGAGTACTCCTTCATATCGTTTCGGCCATCACAAACGGTACAGTTACCCTGCAAAGAGACGGAGGGATGGATGGGGATCAGAACAAAGTCTTTGTCTTTTCATATTTTATTTACTTTTTTTTAATCCTATTTTTATTTGATATAATCTCTGTTTTCCTGATTGGCACGATCCCCTAATAAGAGACTATTCAACAGCTGTAAAGATCAAAGCTCCTCTTGACCGATAAGGCGACTGATCAGCCAATTACGCAGCGTGAGACAGTAACTCACGATGGTCAGGTAGGTGTAGTCTGTGGCTTTGCTCAGCCCCAGTTTCTTCTTCTCATCGACAGTCATTCCCTTCAGCATACAGTAGAAGATGTGGTAGTTTCTCTCATCGTAGGCCTGTAGAGAGAGGAGAAAAGTCAAATCAGTGTTACACCACTACATATTATAAAAGATAAGGTAAGGCTTTGCAGACTGCAGGGATTAATTCATCATAAGATAGAACTGACTTTTGGCTATTTTGTTTTACTTTAAGTCAAGATGATAAACAGAATGACGTTTTTTATGTCACAGTTAGTTACTGAGAAAATGCTCAGGAGTTTAACTTTGAGCTGATCAGCTTCGGACTTACCTGTCGACAGACTCGGGATTTCTCCAGCAGGTACTGCTCTATCTTGGCTCCTTCTATGGCTCCTCGCTTGTTGAAATGGATGTCAATGTATTTCCCAAAACGAGATGAGTTGTCATTGCGGATCGTTTTTGCGTTTCCAAAGGCTGGAAGAAAAACAGAAAACACCAACAATGCAAAAGACATTTCTGTCAAGGTCTGATTGCCCACTGGGAATCTTAATGGAGACTCTTTAGGAATTATCTTCTTTCTTGGCTGTAAATGTTTTCACTGTGTGTTTTCAGTAGATTCACTGAAATATGAGAGGAGACTCAGACATGTGAGCATGTAGCGTGGTGTGTTGTTTCACGATCGTCTTTCTCTCAGGTGAGACATTCACGCAATGCTGGATTGAAGTGTAAATGACGCCTGCTTTGCACTCACAGTGCACTGCACATACGTAATAGGTTGCCTGCTTTTATCATGACGGCTATAAAGTAGATTGGCTTATGCACAAAGAATCGCGGGGTCACATTTTATCATTTTGCCCAACATTTAAGCCAAATAGAGTTGATTTTTGATCACAATGAATGGCTAACTGGCAAAGAATTGACCAAAGATGTTGAACGACGTATTAATCTTGCTAATTTGGTTTCATCTTATAAGTAATTCCTGCTGATTTAATTAACAATTAAATGGAGGTAGATGTTTCATGTGACCTGTCCTGTCACTGCACTACTGCAGACCTCTATCTTACAGTGTTTTGCTCTTCTGATCATTTTGAATTTTGTTATAATACATCCAGTAAATCTTATCTGAAGCTTTAACTTTCAGGTAAAGCTTAAAATTGTATTAATGAAGAATATTTTTTAATGAAGTAATGTACATGTTTAAAAATAACTTTGGTAGTCAGCACAGTCTCAGTCTGTGCTGCCGGGTGTTGATGTTGTAAAACCTTCAGCTGCAAGATTACTGAACTAACATGTCTCTGTTACAACTGTGAGAGATTAAACGTAAATGCTAAAGTGAATCCACAACATCATCTGTGAGTTTGTCTACTTCATAGAGATTTTCTTCCAGATAATGAGTTAAAGATCACTTTTCTCTCTGTGTGTGTGTGTGTGTGTGTGTGTGTGTGTGTGTGTGTGTGTGTGTGTGTGTGTGTGCGAGTGTGTGTGTTACCTTCTAGTATAGGGTTTGCCTCCAGGACCTGCTGCTCTATCCAGGAGTGTTGACCACTGATGGCCGCCAGAAACTGAAGGATCAGTTTGGTGCTTTCTGTTTTTCCTGCTCCAGATTCACCACTATCAAACCAAAACAACAGCGAGAAAATGTGATCATGTTTAAGAAAGACCAAGAGGTTGTTTATCATTTTAAAGTTTCTGATGATTCTACGAGATCTTCAGCACCTACATTTTTATCAGTTTCTTATTTTTCTTGTTTTTTCTTCTTTTAATCACAAATTTTAATAATTTGATAGAAAATAAAAAAGATTAGATATTAGATATCTGACTGACTGACAAACCTTTTGGTCTGCATGGTTAAAACTCACATCCTTGCTGTATGATTGCTGGTTTGTATTTGAGCCACCTGCAGTCTGAACTTTTCCTAACCTGATGATACAGCACTGGTCGCGGTTGTTCCTCTGCATGTTGAAGTAACAGTTGTCAGCAATGGCAAATATATGAGGTGGCATTTCACCGATCTTCTTGTTGGTGTAGAGGCGGATCTGGTCAGCCGTGTAGATGGGCAGCGGCTGGTAAGGATTGACAGCCACAAGGATGGAGCCTGTGTACGTCTGTACAGAAAAAACGAGGATGAACCAAATTATGTTTTTTTTAGGTCACCCAGGTGTTGATGTTTTGGACTCACACTGCTGGTAGCTGATGTGTAAAAGAAGATAAGTACTGAGTAACTACAAATCCTACAGACATCATCTTCTCCTCAACATGCTATACTTGGAAAATTCCTCCAAGGACTGTCAAAAGACAGTTCCTGGGTCCAAACCAGAGCAAGGCAAAGTGTAATAAGAAGCTAACAAATAGTTCAAAAACACATCTTAAAACTGAACAGCCATGAACAGGTCAGCATTTTATGTTTCATGTTTAAGGATTAAAGCACCTGTCAATATCAGATTAAAGTCTTTCAGTTAAATTTGAGAAATTATCAAAGAAGCCAGCCGAAGATCCTTTAGTAAAATGTCCACAATACAACGTCAGAAATATTACAAAAAAATGTCATGCGGCTGTCTGTTGCCGAAAGGATCGAGCAACAAGCCGGTGCCGGTTAGCGGGTACATGAGCTGACACAGGTCGAGTAGCTCAGATGTTGAAGGATGACAATGAGAACGTATCATTGTTCGCCATAAGAGAACAGAAAGCCATGTTGGAAACATGGTGCAGCTCTCAGTTTGGTTACTGTTAAGCCAAAGTGAGTTACTATAGTCCCTGCGCCAACATGACACATCCATCCATAGTGCATATAAGAAAAGAAGTCCCATCAAATACATGATGTCTACTGAAACGTGCAGCAAACCCGCTGTATACTGTGATCGAGGCCATGCAGCGTGCATTAAATCCATGCAGTGGGTGCATATCCTTGTATATTTTTTAGCCTTTGTCTATGCTTGGGTTTCAGGGGCTGACTTACCCTGCCACCACAGTTTGTCTTCAGTAGAAACAGGAACAAATAAAGGAGGGTAACAAACAGAGGTAATGAGAAAATAAAGCAAGGAAGGTATTATGATGACAGGAGAGGAGTGAGAAAAAAGTGACAGAGAGTTAAAAGAGTAAGGTGACGAATAAAGTGTTAAAAAGCTGCTTAAACAGACAGAACATATAGCAGTAGGGTCAAAATAAATGAGATATAGCAAATTCTATATAAAAATCAGGTTTGTATTAAACTTTAAAGCCTTTTAAAGCCTTAAACTTTAAATCACAACGACAGTTGCCTTAAGACACTTTATGTTGTAAAGTCAAAACGCTGCAATAATACAGAGTAACCCCAGTCAGATAAACCTCTATGAGCGAGCGCTTGACGACAGTGGGAAGAAAAAACTCTCTTTTAACAGGAAATAACTTCCAGCAGAACCAGGCTCAGCGAGGGGCATCTGCTGCAACCCATTGGGGATGAGGGGATAAATAATCAAATAAAAAATTAAGAAAAGACTTTATATAAAATTTTGTTTTAGTGCAGAAGAGCAAATATTTGTTACTCTGTGTAGAAAAATCTTTTTAAACAGTATTAAAGGGATTAAATAATGAAGGTATTTCTATTGTTGGAGTTCCATCCATCCAGCAGGATGAGGGTTACAAGTGTGAATGATTTAGTTTGTACTCTACATAGTTGTTGGTAGAGTTTCTTTAATGAGCAGAATTAGGCTTTTCATATTTAAGCATTGCTTCTGCCTGAGCCTGTTCAGTCACTCTTGGTTCCAAGTACTGATGACAATTTCTAATATATCAAACGCTACTTCCTGCCACAGTTTGAGTCAAGTTGTAAGTGTAGTGTAATTGTGAAGAGTGGCCATAATGGTGAGGAACTGGGAGCCTGTCCAGGGTAAACTAGATTCAGTAGGCTCAGCCCTGCAGTAATCGCTGCAGTAATACTCACATATATGAGTTTTTCTCTGTATCTGATGAGCAGGTTACGGAGGATACCAGCTTCATTGAGGTCTCCCAAGCGAATCATGTCTTCCACCCCGTGGATGGAGGTGGGATGCATTGGCTTGATGTTGGTGGCATTTTGGGGGGAGATCCAGTGCTCCTGAAGGAGGATGGGAAGTTAAGTTGAGAAAGCACATTGGAAATTCAGGACATTTTTGATCCTAAACAAAAAAAACAAAAACGTTTTTAATGATCTCAACGGTCACATGGTGTCTGTGATTAGTGTTAGACACTGACATGCTTCCCAAGACATGTTCTTTAAAAAACAAGTTTTATTTGTATGTAAGTGCTTACATTTCCTTCATCGTCCACCACTTGGATCTGTCCGGAGTCACAGAGTTTGACCACTGCGCCGATCGGCACCTCAAACTCCCGACCAGTCTTCAGGTCCAACCAGACATAGTCGCCCTGAAAGGAAGTCAGACAGTCAAACCGAAATCAGGATGTTAGGATTTTGGGAGTTAAATCATTCAGCGTCAGAGTAACAGAGTAAGTATCAAGGTCAGAGTAACAGCAATGTCAGATCACATGAGAAATCAGCCAGAAGCAGAAAGAAACCGTGAAGCAGCATTGACAGAAAAGTGCGTTAATATGTGAACTCATCATGAAAAACAATATTTTTCATCAAAACTTAGAACCAGCTCGTGGTCTGAAGAAATCAGACTGTAGGTTAAATAATTCCTCAAAGCCTTTCGAAACAAATCTTGCCACACAGCAGCAATCCTTAAATGTCTTTGAAACTTTTATTTTAAAGGCTATGAAGACAGAAAACCTGCATTTATAAAATGAAAAGTAAAATCGAATAATACAGTTTAAAAAAATCTGCTGACTTCGGCCCAAAATAAAGCCATAAAAAGCTTTTCCCCCTAGAAGTTAGAACTTCTACCTTCATCTCTGTGTTACAGGCTTCTGTACGTGAAATTAAATTATGGTTTCTTTGAGAACTGTTTCTCTTTAATAATGTGTCTTATATACCTTTACACTCGACTGGCTTTTAATACAGTACCTGCAGCAGACTGACAATCCTTGCTTTGCTTTGAGGGTTTCTGTCTGACCTTTAATCAGTTCCAGACGTTTCTAGTAGGTTACCACTAGACCCAGTTTTTAGGTTTAATCCAATTTACATAAAGATTTTATGTTAAGCCAGTAATCTAAAATTTCACAAAAATTCATTGCAGCCATTTAAAATGGTACTCAGTAGTTTGTACGGCCTACAGAAGCTTGCATGCCTGATAACATCGGGGCCTGTTCCTAATGAGACAATAGATGGTGTCCTGGGATCTCCTCCCAGATCTTGACCTCAGATCAGGGCATCGCTGAGCTGCTGGACAGTCTGAGGTGCAACCTGGCAGAGTTGGATGGACCAAAACATAACGTCTCACTCAGCTGGATATAAGTCAGCTGAGCGTGGCTCCTCCTCAGTGGTATCAGATCCTCCATCCTCCATGTGCTGCCGGCATACTCTCACCACATGAGGCGTATCGTGCACCAGGAGGAACCTGGGACCCACTACAGCAGCGTAGGGTCTGACAGTAAGTCCAGGGACTTCATCCTGATACCTGATGGCAGTCACGGTGATATTGCCTAGCGTGTAGTGTCTGTGTGTCCGTCCATGGATATGCCTCCCCAGACCATCACTGACCCAATACCAAACCAGTCGTGCTGAATGATTTTACAGCTATCTTAATGTTCTCCACAGCTTCTCCAGACCCTGCTGTCACACGTGCTCAGGATGACCCTGCTGTCATCTGTGAAAAGCACAGGACTCCAGTGGTTGACCTACCAATACTGGTATTCTATGGAAAATGCCAGGCGGGCTTCACGGTGTTGAGCAGTGAGCACAGAGCCCACTACAGGACGATGGGCCCTCAGGTCTCATGACTTTTGTTTCTGATTGCGTGGTCAGAGACATTCACACAAATGGCCTGTAGCTCTGCCAGTGCTCATCCTTTTCTTCCTGTCACAAAGGACCTTATACTGGTCCCGCTGATGGCTTGAGGACCTTCTGCGGTCCCTGTCTCCTGGAATCTCCTCCATGCACTTGAGACTGTGCTGAGTGACGCAGCTAACCTACTGGGAGCGGCAATAATGATGTGCCATCCAGGAGGAGCTGGAATACCTGTGCTACCTCTGTAGGGTTCGGGGGGGGGGGGTGTCCACCTGTAAAGTTGTTCCTGTTTTGGGGGGTGTGTCATTGTTGTCTTTCAGCATTAACAGTCCCCTTAACTGACCAGCTCAATGCTCACGAAGTTTAACTGAAGCTTACTCTGACTGACAATTATTCCCTTAGTGTGTTGAGCAGTGTACAACACTATGAGGTCTTTAAGATACTATTGATGGGGGCTTAAAATGCAGCTCTTTGTACATGAGCAGGGGATTCTAAATTAAATTCTGGATTGAACAGGGAGAGAATGAAGAGAAGCTAAAATGGGAAGCATGAGTAAAAGAAGTATACACACATAAACAGCCATGTTAAAAACGTAAACACACATGATCTCTTCAGATGACCCATGAGTCAAAAGTGACCCAGAACAGAAAACCATGCATAATTATTTTAACACACAGTTCTGCAGTATTACATCAGCATTCTTCTCGTGTATAAGAAAAAAGGCACACGTAAATAACAAAGCAGGGAGCAACACAAATGCTACAGATAAAAGCCATGTAATTATGACTCATGAGACTTAAGACACAAGCAGTGTCAGCATACCGGCAGCAGAGTGCTGTGTTTCATCACAGTGTTGACGTTGCGTATCAGCGCCCATTTGGCCTGATCCTTCTCATAAAGCTCCACATAATCCCGACGCTTGAACATCTTCACGTGCACAGTGAAAACTTACTTACAAGCACGCTCACAGTTATATCCAGAGGTAACGGTCTAGAGGCGATACCCACACGTATGAGAGGAAATGTTTCGAAACTGTTCAGATGTTCATTGAATTTTAGTTTCTTGCAAAATTCTCCAAAATCTTCAATGTTTAACAAACGAAATTCCTCCCAGATCACAGGCACACATCACCTCTGTTTGTCTTCACCGGGTTTATCTAAAAAAAAAAAAAGTTGGGGTCGTGGGGAAAAATAATTCCAAGAAAAACAGGTCGAGTATCAGTCCTCTTACAGTCAAACAGCTCTGCCCAGACCAGGGTCCTGTTTTCTGACCTTGCTGGATGTAAAAACTTCAATAAAGAAATCAATTTGAAAATGTGCAGTAAGTTTCCACTGTAACATTTTGGGACCAACAATCCTCCTGCTCTCTCGCTCTCTCCCAGACTCTCTACATCACATTTTGTTAACCCATCCCCTGCTGCCCATGGCAACCAGGTGTCACTTCCTCCTCAGGTGTGTCCTATGGTGTTGGATTTCTGCCTAGATAAGCCCACTGCAGGCTCCTACTGTCATAAATACGCTGTAGTCACCACAGGATGCATCACATAAGTAAAATAATGGCCTTTCACTTTCAGCTTAAATTTGAGAGGAGGGTAGAATTTGGTCATTTCAGATGCTGTCATGGTCCTGAGTCGGTGACCCAGTGTTTTTGAATTATTAATAGTCTTTGCTTTCATTATTATTTAGAATTTCTAGTCTCTTGGTTTCTGTGCCTCCTGTGTTTCATGTTTAGTTACTCTTGTTTCCGTGTTTGTTCCGTCTGTTCCCCTAACCAGTCATACTCCATGTCTGTGTGTCTAGCCTTGGCTGTGTCCCAATTCAGGGGCTGCATCCTTCGGAGGACCCAGCCTTCGGCGTCTATGTGGGGCTTGTCCTTCGAAGACCGAGAAGGCTGGAAGTGTGAGGCTGAGATTTGTATCACCAGCTGTCTCGGTGGAGTTAAACTCAGCTGTCTGCTCCTTGCTCACTAAAATATATCAGGACGTGAGTAAATTCTCGACCATCTCACACTTCTGTTTAATCAGTTTTCTGTTTGACGTTTATTCAGATGTGTGAAAACTATAACTTTAATCTCAGCCAAACCGATTTACTCAGGAACAAATGAAACACTGAAAAAAGCCAAACTAGCATTTTTAAGTTATCTAAGTGATTTATATATCATGTTTAACCTGAGTAGCGAAGGACTGCGCAGGTCTGAAAACAATGTGCTGGGAGTCCAGTGTTCTCGCCGGCTCGAGTGAGCCTTGACCACCCAGTCAGCTATCGAGCTGGTGGGTAACATGTAATATGTGATGTCTTGATAAATCAAGCAGATATTTGAAGTTTACAAACCTACTTTCTTGAAAATATCTTAAAAGTTTATTTTGTGACCCAGAAAGAGTAATATTTCAAACTCTTTAGTCGTGCTCCTCCGCCATTGCTGCATTTTAAAAGTATTTTTATATTATTATAAAAATATTATAAATAATGATTTAAATAAAAAAGTATTGAAAATAGTAATAAGAGTAATATTAAAACTAAGTATTTGCCGCCATTGTTGGAAACTGGAATTTGCTGGACCACGCTATGAATTCTGGGATAGGTTGGGCCACGGAGGATACACCCAACCTCCCCTGAAATTCGGCGAAATGAAGAATGGGTCGGCCGCATTTGGAGCAGCCTCCTAACTGGGACAGCCTTTGTCGCCCGGCTGTGACATAATAGGCCAAACCAAAACGGATTAAAAGTTTGCACATAAATAAATGACAAGTGAAACTTGCCCAACCACAAAGAAACTCGTTGAAAAGAGATCTGATGAGATCTCTTTGAGATTTGTCTATAATGTTAAAGGTAAAAAGTAGCTTTTGAGTTGTAGGAAAAAATGTCTCTTTGCATCTAAATTTGGTGAAAATGAAATGACTTACTGTTCCAGACTTACTCCAGAGAACAACGTCTTTGCAAATAAATAAATGTCAGATTAGAGCCAGACCTTTCTCAATGTGAGGCAACGCTGCTGACTGCTTCATCACTGCACTGCATCAGTATGTGGGATCAAAATGTTTTTACTGTCCAGAGGCTTGTACAAATAAAATATCTGAACGGACTGGCATAAACTTTGATATGAATAATAATCTGTCTTAAATGACCCACTGACCCAGACTTTTTTAGTTTTGAGTGGATGGGTGGAAAATTTAATTAGCTTCAACTCTAAAACATCCTGTCCGCCATTATTATTGTTTTTGACGGTTTTCATATTGGTTTGTTTATCTTCTTCCTCTCCAACTACAGAAGAATGCCAGCCGTGTTCAGCATGAGACGTGAGCTCTGACTCAGGGGTGAGTGTGTCACCATGAATAGCTGTTTGAGTGTGCGTTACATATAAGTCACTTTAATTAAGTAACTACTCCGTCTAGCCAACTGAGCCACCTGAACATTACACCACCAAGCATCTGTCACACACACACACACACACACACACACACACACACACACACACACACACACACACACACACACACACACACACACACACACACACACAC